GTTAACATACACAAAAGGAAAAAACTCTACAGGAATATTCACCAAACCACTAACTGTATTATACTTACTTCTGATATGTGAGATTCAGTGACCCTTTCATTTTCATTCAATTTATTTATTTTTCAACCAATATTTATTGATGGGCAGTGTGCTAGATTCTGGGGATATGGTGGTAAACACCCAAAGCCATTGATCTCAAGGAGCTAGCAGACTATATTTTCACAATCCTGGAATTCTTTACAACAAACATTATTAGGAAAAAACGTTAGACAATTAAAAGTAAATAGAGAGATTATTTTACTTCCTAGCAAGCCCTCCTTACCTCCTTGCCAATCCACTGCACCAGTCTCTGTTCTCTCTATCCTCCTGCTCTCTCTTTCCAACCTGCTTTCTCTCTTTTCTTACAACTATCCAGACTCCACCCAGTTTTTAGGCCCAACTTGTGGCCAAGCTCTCCCATGAAGCCATCAGCAATACTTCCCCCTCCCCTCTCCAAACTGGGTATCTTCCTTTGAATGGACAACAAAAGTGCACAGATGACCCTGTTCTGCCACTATCTGTGATTCTCTAGAGGCCAGGAGCTGTGACCCTCTCATCCAACACACATAATGCCTGGCTTACAGAAAACTCCATAAATGCTGGTTGAATGGGGATTGTGTTGGCAATAGCAGTACACTGTTCTGATAACCTGATGGAAAGCAAATTGCCTGAGAGCCTCCAGGGGCTGTGCCTTCAGGTCCTCTCTGGAATTCTTACTGAGGCTCTGCTTCCCCTTGTTTCTCCTAGTCAGTGACTGGGCATGGTGGGGATACCAAAACCCGGCCATTTCTGTGTGATGCTGTACGCCTTAGCACGCCACCTTTGGTTGGGTCGCCCCATGAGTGTGGCTGCACCGCAGAACTGCATGGCGGTCTAAAGCTCTTCCTACCCAAGCCTCCTCCCTTCCCTCTCTCCTTTCTCAGGTGTCAAGCCTGCATCATGCTCTGAAGGCTCTCCTTCCCTTTTTCTCTTCCTTCCGCCTTTATCCTACACAAGCATTTCTCCCCCAAAACGCCATTTTGCATTTGATTCTCAGAAGACCCAAACCCATACAGGAATCGATGGAAAAAATACTAGAAGATAGTTCACAAATAATTTATACACAGAGGTGTGCTGGGTCCATGCCTCAAAAACTGTGCATGCAAATCAGCTGGGGGTCATGTTGAAATGCATATTCTGGTCCAGTTGGTCTGGGGTGGACCCAAGATGCTGTGTTTCTAAGAAGCTCCCAGTGGATACCAATGCTGCTGGGCCAAGAACCCCACTTTGAGCAGCAAGATGCAGGAATCTTTATTGACCTGCCACATCTCTCTGCTCCCTCCTCTGAGCCCTCAGAGGCCCACTGTGATGACTCCATCAGCACCCTCTGAGCCTCTGGTCAAAAGTTGGGTTTGGCCAACGAGGAGCATGAGCAAGAGATCAGAGGGCAGGAAGAGATTGAGGTCAGAGGTTTTAATAGGAATCACTCCCTATTGGGTCTCTGTAGGTTGCCTGTGTCCCTCTGCCAAAGATTATAGCTCCTGTTAGATAGATCTCTCCAGTTTTCCCTGGTGCAGAATTCTAGTCACTGCTCTCTCCTTTCCCTGCTTTGGCCTGGGGTGGTAATGGTTCCCCACTGTCACCAGCCTTGGAGTACTGCACCAACCCTTGGGGCTCTTAGTAAACCTGGCCCACACTTCTGGAATCAATCCTTCAGTAAATGTTCCTCATTTCCTCAGCCAAGTGTGCCATCTGTCTCCTGCTGGGACCTTGACTGCTACAAGCATTGTTCAACGCAGATTTTTTTTTTATAATAGCACAAAACTGGAAAGAAGATAATTGTGCATCATTAAAATGATTAAATTATGGTATATCTGTTTAATGGTGTTACATACAACCATTAAAAAAGGATGTAGTAGCTCTATATTCACCTGCATGGAAAGATGCTCAAACCATTTGTGCTAAATGAAAACAAAAAAATCCCGGAAGATTTAGAACAGTATGCATAGTACGAACCCATTCATTTAAAAAGTAAAATATACATTTGTGAAGGCTTGGATGGCAAATGACTGATGAGGATCCTGCTCAAAACAAACCTAACCATAAAAGGAGGGAGGGGGTGGGATTTCTGACTCTGTCTCTTCCTATCACTTGCCTCTGGTTTCTCATGTGGTGGCTTCACTATCAGGCAGACTGTCTTCAAGTGATGGCAGAGCGAACCAGCGTGGCTCACAGCATCCTGGCATCTGACAACTGACCACCTCGGTAGAAGGGGCCTCAATCCTAGTTGCTTTAACAAAAAAATCCTGGGCTGAGGCAAGCAGATGGGCTTGGACATATGCTAACCACTGAACTACATGGACTGAGAGTCAGCGAGGGAGGCTCCCCAAAAGAAAGAGAATGTTTCTTCCCAGAGAAAGAAGGGCAAGGCAGGTGTGAGCAGCACTTCTCCACTCTCGAGGAGTTATTTGCAGTGGACATTTGTTATCCTTTTTGGCTGCCCAGCATCTGAACCTCCTTCCTATACTGGAGCGAGTCTCCTACCTTCTCAGACACTTATCCTGGAGCCTACTTCTCCCAGAGATGCTGAAAATGCCAGGAACACAAGTTCCCAGCCTCCTTTAAGCGCATGACCTGGGCCATTTAGATACTGATCTCAGGGGCTGGTACAGATGCCACCTTGGGACAGGGTGCATCTAAGGCATGATTTGGGACCTTGTTCTTGGTTGTGAAACTTTTGCGACTGGTTCGTCCGCCCTCATGGGATCTGCGAGCTATAAAGAAACCTTGTATTAAATCCCCTTTCTGCTTAAATTCTTAAATTCTCCAGAGGGTTAATTTCTGCTACTTGAAATCAAGAAGCTAGATTAATACCTACATGAATGTGTGCATTTTTGGAAAGATAAACAAAATGTGAATATTGGCTATCTACAGGGAGTAGAACTGAGAGAGTAGGGGAGAGGGGAGGGGCTTTTGCTTTTGTTTGGTGAAAATTTTTTTACCATGTATATTATTTTTATAATGAGACAACTAGTTGGTAAAAATATAAGAAAAGACACTGAATGAGGATGCAATTGCTCAGGATTTTCATAGAAACAAAAGTCTTCATTAGACCTTCAAAAGATAGTCATCATCACATCTATTGTGATGAATGGCTCCAACTTCGGAAAGGAATGACAGTGTGTCACCCTGGACACTGACTGGGCCTAAGTGGTTTGCTCTGTCCCTGTAACTCACTCCCTCAAACACTATCCACGGCTCTCTCTTCCTCATGGAATAATCCCACTGCCTTTAACCTGGCACTGGAGAGTTTTGCAGTTTGAGTCTTGTGTACTTTTGAGACGCTTTTCTTTACGCTTCACCTACACCTTTTCTTTCAGCCCTATTGGCCCAGATTCAAAGGGCATTACCATCTTTGCTCTGCCAACACCATGACTCTTAATTCCTTCTTCATGCCCTCATCAAGTGTTGTTCTATATTATAAGTCTACATTTATGAAACGTAGCCATTTAACAGTCAGGTAACTGAGCACCCACTGTATGACTGGCCTTGTGCTGGGTTTAGGGCCATAGTTCACAATTTATGGAAATCTATCACCTCCTACCAGAAGTTAATGTTATCACGGTGAGCAGATGGCATCAGCAATTTGCAGACAAGGCAGGGCTGCTCTGGTTAGAATCTTTCTTTTCCCTTCTGCCTGGATTGCACACTCCCCAAATGTCAACATGACTTGATTTCTCAATTCCTTCTGGTCACATTCTCAGTGACACCTTCTCAACCCACCCTTTTTTAAAATAACAACCCATCCTCTGACCTATTGACTTAGATTTGTTATGTCCTATTTATTGTTGGAATGGCACTCATCACTCATGTCCTTTCCTTACTTGTTGGTGTCTTTACAGCTTTTCCAGCACCTAAAATAGTCCTGTTTGTTGGTAATAGAATGAGAACTGGACACCAAAAGACCTGGGTTCTAGTAACAGCTCTCCTCCAGGAAAACCATGTGGCCTTTAGCAAGCTGCAGCCTCTTTAAGCCTCAGCCGGCTCCTCAGTAAATTGGGGGCAACCATTTGGTGGCTGCAGGTCTGACTACAGGCCCAGATCACACAGGGTCTCCAACTTGAGCGTGGATCAGAATCGCCAGGAGGGCCCCACACCCAGTTTCTAGTTCAATAGGTCTTGGGTGAGTGTCGGAAAATTTGCATTTCTAGTCCTCCGTGGAGCTGATTCTAGAACTACAGTTGCAGAGAAAGGCACTGGAAGTGCTTGTAACCATAAGGGCCCTGCCCAGAGAAGGACTGAAACAAAGGGACCTTCTGTGGGGACGGAGCGGACCCATCTGTTCTCTAATAGAGGCAACAACTATTTTTAAAAATATATTTCATTGATTTTTCACAGAGAGGAAGAGAGAGGGACAGAGAATTAGAAACATCGATGAGAGAGAATCATCCATCAGCTGCCTCCTACACACCCCCTACTGGGAATGTGCCTGCAACCAAGGTACATGCCTTTGCCCTGAATCGAACCTGGGACCCTTCAGTCCGCAGACCGACGCTCTACCACTGAGCCAAACCGGTTTCGGCTCAACAACTATTTTGGACGCGCCGCCGGCCAGGCCAGCGCGGCGGTGGACTCAGGCGGAGGACTCAGGCCTGGGCCCGGCACAGTGTCCGCAGGGCCGGGCACCGCTCCGACGCTGCACGGCGGCAGGGAGTCTCCGGGGCCGCCAGAGGGCCGCGGGCCGGCGCGGAAAAGGCAAAGGCGGATCCGGATCCGCGAGCCAGGGCCCCGGACCCAGGTCTGGGCTTTTCCCGGAGCCCGCGCTGCGCTCCGCTCGCTGGCCGCGGCCGGGACGCCACCTCGCCCCCGGGGCGCGCGCCCGGCACGCGGTAGGCGCGCCGCGGGCGGGAGGAGGCGCCGGCGCGCGGCATCCGGGGGCGGAGCCGGCGGGGCGGACGCGCGGGCGCGGGCCCGGGGCCGTGATGGGCGAAGGCGGGCTGCCCCCGGCCTTCCAGCTGCTGCTGCGCGCCTGCGACCAGGGCGACACGGACACGGCGCGGCGGCTGCTGGAGCCGGGGGCGGCGGAGCCGGCGGAGCGCGGCGCGGAGCCCGAGGCGGGCGCGGAGCCGGCGGGCGCCGAGGCGGCCGGGCCCGGGGCGGCGGCGGCGGCCGGGGCGCCGGTGCCCGTGGACTGCTCGGACGAGGCCGGCAACACGGCGCTGCAGTTCGCGGCGGCCGGGGGCCACGAGCCGCTGGTGCGCTTCCTCTTGCGCCGCGGCGCCTCGGTCAACAGCCGCAACCACTACGGCTGGAGCGCGCTCATGCAGGCGGCCAGGTGAGGGGCCGGGGCGCCGGGGTGGTGTCCAGAGGGGGCCGGGGTCAGGCAGCCCCAGACCTGCCCGCGGACCCTTTCATTCCCCCCCCCCCCCCACGCAGACGTCCCAGGAGGTAAAGAGTCCAGGACTCCTTGGAGAGAGTTGGAATGGTAAACTTTGAGCCCATTTGGGATGCAACAAGACATAGGAAAGCGGTTTAAAAAACAAACACACACCATATATATATGGGCGAATATATATATATATATATATATATATATATATATATATATATATATATATATATATATAAATTGTGTTTTTTTTAATTACAGAGAGGAAGAGAGAGGGATAGAGAGTTAGAAACATTGATGAGAGAGAATCATCGATCAGCTGCCTCTTGCATACCCCCTACTGGGGATGTGCCTGCAACCAAAGTACATGCCTTTGCCCTAATTCGAACCTGGGACCCTTCAGTCCGCAGGCTGACGCTCTGTCTACTGAGCCAAACCGGGTTTCGGTGGAAAGCGGTTTTTAATAACATGAAATCAGAGTCTCGGAAACATTGGCCTTTCCAAACAGAATCTGGACAGAAACTGCCAGTGAAATCTTAGAGACTCACTCTCAGAGGTTCATTCATTCCTTCCGGTGACAGGGGTTTCGCTTGGTGGAGGGATGCTGCAAGAGACTCAAGTCAAGCCCCCACTGGGCGCTGCTCACATGCCATTGGGTAGGCCAGACAAGGGAGCAGGTTTGATAGGGTAAGTTCAGGGAACTCTTGGAGGTGGGAGAAGTTTTCTGGTAAGGATGATGCTTATATACAAATGGAGATCTGAGGATTTTTAAGAATTAATCAGGACAGAAGCAGTGGGAGAGGTGCGAACCCTGGGATAGGAGACCCACGCAAAGGTTTGGAAGCAATATTGAACATAAAGCATTGGTAGCATTGTTAGGAGGATGTTATGGCTGGGAGGGGGGGCTGGGAGTGGTGGAAGATGAGTTCTCCTTGGAGAGATGAAGGCAGACGTTAGGGGCAGGGCTGGGAAAGGTTAGCCATCCTCAGCGCACTGGGGAGTGATGGAAGGCTGTAGGCAACATGAGTGACAGAATCAGGTTGATTTGGAAAATCACTTTAACAGTAACGAGGATGGATTGGACAGGTAGGTGGGCTAGAGTCAGAAAAGCCCATCGGGAGGCGATTGCAGGGGTCACTCAAGAGGTGATGTTGGCTTGGGTCAGAGCAGAGGCAGTGTCTGGGTGAGCAAAGAGATGAGTGTGAGATGTGCTCAGGAAGCGGGATGCACAGGACTTGAAACCCTGGTATAACGAAGCTTTGATGTATAGGGAAGTCTCTTAACTCTTGTCAGCCAACTACGGAGGCCCACCCACCCCTCAGTTTCTTGGGGAAGTTCCCCGGAGGAGGGAACGCAGGGGATAGGTCATGTTGCGTGGGTATCGCCAAATTGCTTCCCATACCGTGTGTCAGTCTCCGTTGGCTGCTGTAAGAGCTTTCCACAAAATCAGCAGCTTCTGTCCTCACCTCTGACTCGGACTCTTCCGGTCCCCTTTTCCACAATTAAAGGACCCTTGTGATCCCAGTGGGCCCACCTAGGTAATTTAGGATGCCCCCATCTCAAGATCAGCTGGTTAGCCACCTTCATGATTACTAATCCTATCTGCAAACTTCATTTCCCCTTTGCCAAGAAACCTAACTCAGGTTCTGGGGGTTCGGGTGTGAATGCCTCTGGGAGCCCGCTATTCTGCCGGCCACCGCAGTCACGCCAGTTTACCTTCCCAGCAGCAGTGCGAGTGAGGGCTTGTTTTTCCACAGCCTTGCCGACAGTGTGCTAGCAAACGTTTGGGTTTTTGTGTCTGATGGGTGAAAAACCTCATCTCCGTGTGGCTGTCATTTGCATTTGTGAGTGAAGTAAAGCATCCTTCCCTAGGTACGAGCCGTTTGTTTTTCCAAAAGGCTTTGAAAACACCGTGTTCTCAGTCAAATTGCCAATGATATTTTATTTCTCCGAGTTCTTTCCCAAGTGTTACACAGTGGTTCTCATTAGTTTGTATGGCTAGAAAAATTGCATTCTGCGTCATTTTCAAATATGTCATTTTAAACTGCTGGGTGAACGTTCATCCATGGGTCAGTGCCGTGGTTTGCTTAGCCATGCCCCAGCCATTCTTTGGGCATTTATTTCAGTCATTCTATGAGCACAACTTTGGGAACACATCCCGTTAGGGAATGCACGCCTGTTGGCAAGGGCTACGCAGTGTTTCATGCACTTATCTGGATGTTGGGACCCTTTGTCTTGACACTTGATTTCCTGCCTAGAGCAGTCTGGGATGATCGTAAGCCTTTGGAGCTATCGCCACCTTTTCCCCAAGGTTCCCTGTCACTCTTAGGCTTTCTTTAAGGCTTTTAAGTCCCAGGTGAGTCCTGGGCCTTGCCTGACTGTGCCGTGGCCAGCTCTGCCCATCTGTCTCTGCCGTACCCTCTCTGGAATCCATACCCACTGTCCTTCCCCTCTGCTGCAGTCCAGACCACACGTTCAGGAGCCTCCCCCTGCTCTCCCTTCCTCCAGGTGTGCCCTCTCTAAGCCAGCCTCTGCAGAGCCTCCAGACCTTTCTGAAATGAACATTAGGTTGTGCCTCTCCCGTGATGGGTCCACTGCTAAGAGTCCTTCGCAGGGCCCTTGAGACTCTCACCTTCAGACTCCTCCCCAGTTCTCTCTCCTGCTCTCCCCTGGCTTCCTAAGCGTAGCTGAGTGTAGGCTCTAAATGAAAATAAACCTAAACGCAGGCCAAGGTCATTTCATCCAGACCTTCCCCTTGTCTCCCTGTAGTTCCTTTTTCTGAGGGGGAGGGAGGAACATTGATCGAGCATCGACTGTATGCCAAGAGAATTATCTCCACTTGGCAGATGAGAATATGAAGTCACAGAATTTGCTCATGAGCATACAGCTAGTCGGCCTGTTATAGCTGGTCCCCTTCCTCCGTGGCATCCGAACCTGCCACACATCAGGATCCCCTGGATGCGTTTCCAAACCAGATTCCTGAGTCCCCTTTCTGGGGGTGGTGACTCAGAAGACCTGGTAGAGAAGGAGGGGAGGGCAGGGGCTCTGTGTACGAAGAGGCTCCCCAGCGATTCTGTCATGTGGCGGTTCTGGGAGCCACTGATGTATATGCCTCATCTCTGGTTTCCCGTCCCGTGCAGAGGGCCCTCCGTGAGCCCCTGGAGGCCTTGCTGAGCGAGGTCTGTGACTGCAGCGCCTCAGGATGTCTCAGACCCCTTTTCACCAGTGTTTGCTGTTAACCAAGTTCTGCGTGATGGTCCAAGTCACCTGATTCATTTCATCTGATTCATTTCATTCATCTTGATGGAGCAGGAGACTCAGAAGAATTAACCTAAACTCTGCTAACTAATAATTCAGAGAACTTTCCTTCTCTACAACATGGCAGTATTTGCTGGAATTTATGGTTCACGGGTCTTGATTTTTGTCCCTTGCAAATTAAGAGGCTCTGAGCTAATTACATTCTTCTTTATTCCTCCGTTTATCTCTGGGAGCATTAGCTCTGACATACTCTCTTATTTCTCCTGTGAGACTGGCAGAATGTGACGGCCCAGTGAGAGGATTAGAATCACCCCAGACAGCGCCTAGACATTGTCCCGTAGTTGGTGGTACTGGCCGGTAGTGCCCTAGCTCTCTGCTGTCTGCTCTGTATGTTGAGGAGTAATACGTATGGGAGGCTTTCTGGAGGTACTATGGTCTGTCTGTCCCTCAGATCAGACTGGGCAAATGCATGGCCTAATGCCACCAGGTTCCAGTCTGTGCTTTTCCTCCCTGAATCCTGATGCACCTCAGACAGTGTTCCCACCCAACCACCACTTTCGGTGGCAGAGAGCATCTATTATCATCCAGCTCTTTATGTTCCACAGCTCGTCATTGGATCCGCCCTGGCTGTCCCAGGCCCTGTGCCTGGACTGCAGTTTCGTCTCTTGTGGATGCTTTGATATCAGAAATGGTTATGGTCATGTTTGTTTTTTTTTTTTTTTTCTCTCTCCTATTCTTAAAATGATAACCTTTATTGATTACTGACATTGTGTCAAGAACTGTGCTAAGTGCTTCAAATGAATTTACTAACTCATTCCACACAAAACCTTAGGAAGTAGGTACTATTGTCACCCCCGTTTCACAGGTGAGGAATTGAGGCTCAGAGAAGTTAAGTTGCCCAAGACCACACAGCTGGTAAGTGGTGGAGTCAGAGTCACATCCAGGCAGGCGCTCCCGGCCTCGGCTCTCAGCTGTGAATCTTATAAATGAGCATTTTCTTTTTGGTGTTGGCTACGGAAAGCTACTCACTAAATTTACCTGATGCTAAAGGGGCAGGTTGGCCTCTTTCCTTTCCTTTTCCTGCCCTTCATCTCTCCTCCTGCCAGTAAGGCAGAATTGGATTCTCCGCCCAGTGTGCTGAGTGATGGCAGTATGTGCCAGGTCTTTAAACACAGGTGTTAATGGCAGAAATTAATGGGTAATCATAGCAGCTGTTCAGAAAGCCCAAGCTTCCCTATCTTCAGTAATTACCTATTAAAAATTGAGCAGCCACTTTTCAGCCTGATTGAATGACCTGTTGGGCTACCCCATGAGTTCAGAAAACATTCCAAATGTCAGCATTCTGCTGAAATTCAGCCCTCTTCTTCCTCTGTGAAAATTGGTTAAACCAGAAGAGGAGCGGGGTTTGGGATTTTAGGTCTGAGTTCAAGTTTTGACTCTGCGACTTTCAAATTTCTGGATTATTACCTCCCATTCTAATCTTGATTGCCTCATCCGTGAAATGGGCGATTTATTAAATAAAATAAGATACAAATGTGACAGTGCCTCATAACCTGCTGTTATCAGTACACTAGATTTTTCCCGATGCTTGATAACTAAATAGTGTTACCTCTTGTATTCTCTACTCCAGTGGAGGATCTACCAGTCCATTGCCTTTCTCTGGACCATCCTCTACAATGTTATGTCATTCATTCATTCATTCACTTAATTGACAAAATTTACTGAGCTCCACTGTGGGTCAGCCCCCCAGTCCTCTCTTTGGAGAGTCTAATAATTGGTGAGCACAGATGAGCATGGCCAGAGGGTACGGTGTGAAAGTTGGGAGAGATAAGGTTGAAAGTCGTCCGTCAGATTTAGGGTTTGGCAGTGTCGTTTTGGGTTTGGGGACTGTCATGGAGGATGGGCAGGAAGGGACAGCCCAGGAAGCAGGGAGACAGGCCAAGGTTGCAGCTTTCTGCTGTTGAGTTTATTCCAGCTGGACTTGCCCTCTCCCCGCTCTTGGGGAAGAGGACAGGGCCCGTCCCTCTGCAGCGGGAGGCGTCATTCACCAAGCTCTCCCTTCGGGCAGCCTCTGTGGGCTGAGGTGACCTGCTGCTGTTCAGGTTCATGTCCCGGAAGGTATTTGAAAGTTCAAAGCAGAGTTCTGAACTTGGCTCTGCCTCCACAGGGAGGGGGGAGGCGCTGGGTTTAGCTGAGCTACAAAACCCACACAACAGGAGACTTAAAAAGCTGCCTTGCCGATGCAGACCTCTCCCAGGTATTATGGTCTTGTAAACCTGGCAGAGCTGGCCCCTCCCTTCTTGCCATCCTTTCCTTGTTAGTCCAGGCCTCTTCCAGCTCTGACACACAGCTCGGAGCCCCACAGAAAGAGTGTGCCTAGCAAAAGTGCTGTGAAACCGAACTTTTCTGTTCTCTCCAGGTGAAAGATTTTTGCTAGAATGAGGCATCTGTTTTTCCTTCTTGGTGTTAGAGCTTTGGTGGGTGCTTATTTGTCTCCCCAGGGTCTCAGGAGGGCCTTTCCTCAAACTTCACTTGGGGAAGGGAGTGGAGGTAGGGGTGGGAGGGAGTGTCTGACCCAAGGTCCAAATCTAAGCTTCAGGCAGTGTACTAGTACATTCCTGCCAGCAGGTGGCAGCAGGCCTCTGGTGAGATGTTCCAGCCTATTTCTGCTGACCACAACCTCGCCACACCTCTTGGCATGGGGTCCTGTGCCTCTGGTCTAGAAGGACCTTCTCTCTGTGTGCATCTGGAGAGGAAAAGGGTAGACATGAGTCAGACATGGGCCCTGCCCATGGGGAGATCAGCATTGGCAGATCACCAGGCTACAAAACAGAATAAAATGACCTTTCCGAGATGTGGGAGGCAGCAGCGTGGTGTAGGGGAAAGAGGGAGGGCAGCAGGATTTAGACAGACCTGGTTTCTGACTCAGCCCCTTACTGGCTGGGCAACCTCGCATGTTGCATAATGTGAACGGATTACAATGATACTAGCTAACATTTGTACGGTGCTTCCTTTGGCTAAGCACTGCTTTAATAATTATACATATATTATATATTTAGGTATGTTAACTCCATCCTTAACATTCCCTTGAAATCTGTACAGCCACATCCCATTTTGCAGATGAGGAAATGAAGGCACGATGAAGTTCAAGTTTTTTTTTTCAAGGTCATGCAGCCAGTGGAGGTCAGGGCCGGGTTCAAACCTAGCAAGGCAACTGCTCACCTTTGTGGTGGGACATATGCAGGGCTGGCACCAGAAGAAGGCCTTTTATTTTTTATTTTATTTTTAATTTTTTTTAAAATAAGATTTTATTATTTTAGTAGTTCACTCTTTAAAAATATATATATATATATATATATATATATATATATATATATATATATATATATATATTATTGATTTTTCACAGAGGAGAGAGAGGGATAGAGAGTCAGAAACATCGATGAGAATCATCGATCAGCTGCCTCTTGCACACCCCCTACTGGGGATGTGCCTGCAACCAAGGCACATGACCCCGACCGGAATCAAACCCGAGATCCTTCAGTCCGCAGGCTGATGCTCTATCCACTGAGCCAAACGGGTTTTGGCAGAAGGCCTTCTATTATAAGCAGCTCTTAGGGCTTCATGACAAACGAGCATTCAATAAGTGTCTCCTTCTCAGGGCTCCATGTTTAGTGTCACCGATTCTCCATCTTCCTGGCAGATTTGGGCACGTGAGCGTGGCGCACCTGCTCTTGGATCACGGGGCTGACGTCAATGCCCAGAACCGGCTGGGGGCCCGTGTGCTCACGGTGGCCTCTCGGGGCGGCCACCTGGGCGTGGTGAAGCTGCTCCTGGAAGCCGGCGCCTTTGTGGACCATCACACCCCCTCGGGCGAGCAGCCGGCGGCGGCAGCAGCAGCAGCGGACAGCAGGAACGAGCTGCTGGACATCACGGCCCTGATGGCTGCCATCCAGCACGGACACGAGGCCGTGGTGCGCCTGCTGCTGGAGTGGGGTGCGGACCCCAACCACGCGGCCCGGACCGTGGGCTGGAGCCCGCTGATGCTGGCCGCGCTCATCGGCAGGCTGGGTGTGGCCCAGCAGCTGGTGGAGAAGGGGGCCAACCCCGACCACCTCAGCGTGCTGGAGAAGACTGCCTTCGAGGTCGCACTGGACCGCAAACACAGGGACCTGGCGGATTACCTGGACTCACTGACCACTGTCAGGCCCAAGACAGGTCAGGCTGCTTCTCTCTCCCCCTATCCCACCCTCTCCCACGCTGTGGCTTCAAATTGTGTGTGTGTGTGTGTGTTTTAAATATATATTTTTTATTGATTTCAGAGAGGAAGGGAGAGAAAGAGAGAAACATCAACGAGGAGAGAGAATCATTGATCAGCTGCCTCCTGCACACCCGACACTGGGGATTCACTCACAATCCAGGTGTGTGTCCCAACCAAGAATCACCCTGTGACCTCCTGGTTCATAGGTTGATGCTCACCCACTGAGCCATGCCATTTGGGCTTAACCCACTTTTGAGGTTTTTCAACACCTAGTAATGTGCCCTGTTTCTTTTTTATTTTATTATTATTATTATTATTTTTTGCCATCTTTCTGGCGTTTAAAGAGCTGTTTGAACAATCCTTAGCAGATCTGCCATAGGACACACTGTGTTTCAAAACTTCCAGTTCATCACGTGCAGTAGGACCGTGAAATGCCATTTCACACACAGCCTCAGTACCCTCTTTCTGTGATGGGGCCCAGGCTGTAATGACAGGTTGCAGTGTATAAGCGTCTAGGACTGAAAGGTGAGGATCTGAAGGAAAGGCCAGCTGAGGGACCTGGGATAGGTTGCCCAAATTCACCTAGCTTCTGTTTAGTCGTCCACACACGGGGGACAGGAGTAGCACCATGTCCTAGGACTGCTGTGAGGATTAAGTGAGGTCACCCTGGCCAAGTGTGGGTACTTGAGAGGCAGTGAGAGCTGCCACCCTTCCACCCCCGATATTGTTACTATTGTCATATTTGACCGGATCAGGTCATGGTTATGTGTATAGACTTCTTCGTTGAGCAGACCCAGGTTTGGAGCTAGTTCTTCACTTTGTGGCTGGATGGACTTCGGCATGTTTGTTGTCCCTTCAGGACTTCATTGTCCTCTTTCCCAAAAGAATCATCATAAATGTGCTTACCTCGTAAGGTTCCGTGAGCAGTGGTAAGGTAGGCGCCTGTAAAATGTGTACCTAGCCCCTGGCACATAGTTAGCACTCAGGAAATAGAAGCTGCTATAATAGGTTTTAATTGACCGTCGTTCATTTAGTTAGCATGAGTGCCTATAAGGTACCCCGCACTGCTCTCAGTACGTGGGATATGTCAATGAGCAGACCAGTCCCTGCCACTGAGAACCTTGGCAATCAACAGGAAATAGAATAGCATATTCATTAAATAAAATAAGTTGCACAGGAAGGTAGATGGTACGTGTCAGGGGGCAAGGCAGAGGGTTTTGGAGTGATGCAGTGGGGGTGATGCAGTCCTGGCCTCCTTGAGGAGCTGAGACTTACACTGACTCAGGAGCTGAGGAAACAGGCCATGCAGGCTGTCAGGAGAGTCTTCAGGCGGGACAGCAGCAAGGACCAAGGCTGCGTTATTAATAATGGCGGCTATTAGAGAAATCATAATGGCCACTAGCTCTTTTTGTGAGATGCCAGCAAATTCACCCCACCAGGGACTTAGGGACCTGCAGGTCTCTCTTCTCAAATGAGCAGCAGCAGGCTATGTCGGAGGCTGTACCTGTCATTGTGACGCCCTGTCTACCCTCACTGTGGTTGTGCGGGGGAAGGAGGGGGCTGTTTCTCTGTTTTCCATGTCCGTCACGGAAAAGGACAGTACCTGAGTAGAGGAGCTGGGGATTAAGAAATATTGAAAAAAGAAAGAGATAAGGAGGCAGACATAGATTCATCAAGCTGGGCGCTAGGTGGGCGCCATCTCTCTGATGGAGAGGCAACAGGCCCCGAGCCAGGCAGCAGGTTTATTTATAGGGTCAAAGGAACTTATTTGCATACTTAACTAGGCCCTAGCATTACTGGATTTACATATCTAGACCCGCCCCTGCTGATAGCTGGACAAAGGTACTCTGCCAGTGCCTGGGGCTCAGCTGACAATTTAAAGAATGTCCCTGTGCCTTCTCAGGCGGCCCTCTACATGGTTGTTTCTTGGGCTGGGACAGGGTCCCCAGAGCTGTTCTAATACTGATGCAAAAAACTGGATCCTGGAGTGAGGAAGGGACCAGCCCAGGGTCACTTGACATCAGGGGCACAGCTGCCCCATCCTTCGGGGGTCAGGCTAGACTGTCAGCAACTCATTTGTAGCAGGCGGTTGCTTAGCAACCAACATGAAGGCCTTTTCTGTCAAAGGGTCTTGGCGTGAGAGGTCACCAGCCCACAGCAAATTAGACTCTGAAACACTTAAAGGAACACATCATATTTATTAAAACAAAAATGCAGATTCGTTTCATAATGGTATTTTGCAGGCAAAACCTGACACTTGGTTCCGCTTCTATACTTCCTTTCACAACCCTGTAGTTAAGTAGTAGTCCTTGCGGGGTGGACGCTGGTCACTAGTAAAGATCACAGAAATTGCATTCTGAGTAGGACCTAACTATTTCTGAAGCGTTCCCCTCTGTGTTATTGGTCCCTGCAACCACCATGTGGCCCGCACATGAACATGTAATCCCCATTTTAGTGACGAGGAGACAGATGGTTCTAGAGATGCACTCATCCTGATATGCTGACTCAGGACTCCTGCTCCCTGGGTGGTGCTGCAGCTCCCTGGGGGCTTATCTGGACCAGAGGTTCAGCCCAGAGCCTCAGGCTTCCTCCTGCAGTGGCTCCATCCCTGGAGCTAGTCAAAGGCGGCAGGAAGACTTGCCTTTACCACCCATGTCTGGTAACTGTCCATGTCTGCTTCCCTGCAGGAGCAGGATCCCCACTAGTCAGACTTGGAGGAAGGTGATGGATGAGCAGATGAAGGAGGGGCTGGCACTGGGTGGGTCCAGCAAGGCCCACCTTTGGGAGTCAGAAGTGGGAGGAGTGGGGGTTCTACACGAGCCAAGCATGAACATGTCGGGTGGGAAATCACCCACAGGGAGCTATGTCTACAGATCAGGGGCGGGAGGTGACTCAGATTGTTGCTTATTTGGGGAAGAAAGCAAAAATTGACACTGGCTCTTCTGCCCTCACCGGATTGGCTCAGTGGATAGGGTGTCAGCCTGCAGACTGAAGGGTTTCAGGTTTGATTCCGGTCAAGGACACGTACCTTGGTTGCGGGGACATCCCCAGTAAGGGGGTGTGCTGGAGGCAGCTGATCGATGTTTCTCTCTCATCAATGTTTCTAACTTTCTACCCTACTCCCTTCCTCTCTATGAAAAAAATCAATAAAATATATTAAAATGAACAAAAACAACAACAAAAGTTATCAATGGCTCCTCTGGAGGCCATATCCATGACCGTCACCTGGGCTTAGCTGCTTAGCATCTCAGGGCCCTCAGCTCTAGACTTATCTCATGGTTGTCCATTTTGTTTTTAGGAGAAAAGACTCATTCTTGCTTTTAAAAATTTTCATAGGAGTTCAGATTCTTCTAAGACTGTGTTTTTCTGTCATACCTAAGACAGGACATCCCGAAGTTTGGAATGCCTAAAACTTTGTGAGTGTGGGGTCAGGAAATAGTCCGCTGCTCACTCATGTCGTTTTGGCCAAACGACCTCCTAAGACGTGTCTCTGAAGCATTTCCCGACCCGGAAACTAACCCTTGGGGGTGGGGGGGAGGCTGCTGCATTTTTCTGCTATTTGGGTCTCCAATTCGATTGCTTTTGAAAAGCAGACGATTTTAAAAGTTAGGCTATGTTGATACACGCTTGTGACTTTTCTCTTATGCTAAACCTTAACTTTGAAAATCTTTATTTACCTAGATGAGGAGAAAAGGCGGCCTGATATTTTCCACGCGTTGAAAATGGGTAAGCGCTTTAGAAAACCTTTGGGATATTTAAGGACTCAGTGCCATATTTTCCCGACTTAATATCTGTCGTCCTCCTCAAGGTCACCTTGGGCATTTGGGAAAGATAACAGGCGTTTTGTTGTTTCACCCAGGAAGGTTCAGACCCTGGAGGCTGGTAGTTACTATGGGGCTTTACCGGCAGATTCCAGCCTGCCCTCCCAGGCTCTCCCACCTCTCCCGAAAAACCCTGTGGTTAGGTCCTGGCTTTCCCCTCCCTCTGAAATGCCAGGCTGCCCACCTACCTGCTTCAGTGTTTTTGGGATGTAGGACTATTCAGCCTAAAAATCTCCTCTTCTGATATAGACCCCGCCTCCAGGCAGCCCTCCCTGATCCTCAACCCCTGGCCAGACACGAACTCACCTGTATAGTCCTTTCTATGCCCTTTCTCTGTTTCCTTCATCTGTCCTCTTAAGATACCAACATTTCCCTCATTTAGGAAACCTATTTGTATGGTGTCTCTGTCCTTTGTAGACCGAAGGATTTGAGAGGAGGGGGCTACCTCCTTGGAGCCCCTCTGGTGTCCAGTAGCCCAGTGCAGAAGCAGGCTCAGCAAGTGTTTGTTAAGCGAACCCCCTGGATGCGTAAGCCTGCAGCTGCACAGGCCCATGGACGATTGCTTCTCTCTGTAGGAAACTTCCAGTTGGTCAAAGAGATTGCTGATGAAGACCCCAACCACGTGAACCTGGTCAACGGGGACGGGGCCACCCCCCTGATGCTGGCGGCCGTCATGGGGCAGCTGCCTCTGGTGCAGCTGCTGGTGGAGAGGCATGCTGAGGTCGACAAGCAGGACAGCGTGCATGGCTGGACGGCCCTCATGCAGGCCACCTACCACGGGTCAGTGCCAGCTCCACGTTCTCCGCGGCAAGGCTGCTAGGATGCTCTGGCTGGGAGGGGGGTCGATGGGGCTCTCTGGTCCTGAGACCTGCAGGTAAACCCCACGGCGGTGAAGCTGTTGGGGCGTGCACACGAGGTTAAAGGAGTGCAGGCTCGTTCTTTCCTGCGTTCCTGCCCTTCCGTGTCCAGACGTCCCATGACTCTTTCACAGAACGTCACCAGGGACCATGCCAACCAGGCGGCAGACACTTTTTAGGAATAAGTTTCTGTAGGTTGATTTCAGTTGATCAGGGTGATTGGCTTGTTTTCTTACTTGATGAGTTTCAACTTCCACCTCAACCCCTTGGCCCCTGGGAGGCTTCCATGTGGAGGGAGGTCCTGATCTGGGTCGGGGGACTGGGGCCTTGTGTAGTCTGGATGACCAAATGGTTTGGGGGCAGAACCCTCGGTGTTCATTTTGTTAGTGGAAGGAGCCCTTGGGCTTTGATTTCCTTCACGTTCATGTCTGACCTGCCCACCGGGTAGGGGACGAGGCCTGTGAGACTGTTGGCAGCTCTCCATGCTCTTAACACACTCAAGAACAGGGCGCTGCAGTTAATATCACGTCTTGCTGCTCGGAAGCAGAGCCATGCTTTTGTTTTCCGTGGGTCTAACCCTGGCTCTTTCCTTCCTCCGCAGGAATAAGGAAATTGTCAAATATCTGCTAAACCAAGGAGCTGATGTCACTCTTCGAGCAAAAAACGGGTACACGGCCTTTGACCTAGTGATGCTGCTGAGTGATCCTGGTGGGTTGTTTCAGGAAATGGGTTCTGGACCTGCGTTGCCTTTTCCGGGCTGGGGATCCAGATAAATCACCTGTGTTTTAAGCATTTGCTTATTCAAAGGGGAAGCCACTCTCAAGCCCCAAGAGCTCACCCCATGGCTTTCCCAGCAAGGGCTGGGCTGGGCCCAGGCAGTCCCTGAGGCCTCCCCTAGCACCAGCCTCTGGGAGCCTTGAGGAGGGAAGGCCAGCAAGGCGTGTGTCTGCCTCGGCAGTCCACACACATCCTAGAATGGTATCTGATCTATAGCCAGAAATGCTGGGGACTCGGGAGGAAACAAAAAGGCCCTCTGACAGCAGAATTAGAGGTGGAGCAATGAATCCTCAGTTAATTTGTGTAGGTGGAGGCTGCCCGCTGGAGGTACCTGTAATACCAGCCCACCTCTCTTGGTCTCCAGCTGGCACCGTGCCCCCCCTCGGCCCCTCCCCAAGTGTGACGGGCCCTCCTCTGTGACCTGTGGCTTCTAATGAGCCGGCTCAAGAGGCAGGGTCTCTCTGTTTATAATCCCGGAGTTTTGAGCCCAGAGAGGGAGAGGCTGAGAGGCTCTCCCGACCCCCAGGCTTTAGCCCTGAGCCAGATCCCAACCTGCTGGCCGTGGGGAGAGGACTTTTACCTCCACAGTCCCAAGTGGGGTTACTCCTGCTGCTGTTCCTAGCTACGGGGTGGCAGGCCAGAGTGTCCTTTCTCATCAGCAGCATTGCCACCCTCCCGCTCCTCCCCCACACATCACACACCTGCTTGGTTCCATTTCATCCTCCTGGGGTGTGTGGGAAGCAGAGCTTCATACCGTCTTGTAGAGGGAGGTGACTGAGACCAGGGGAAATTACCTGGCCCAGCGGGAGAGGCGGGCCCTCTGCCCAAGTCCAGTGAGCTCACTCCTGTCATTTAGAGTGAGTCTCTCTGTGACCCTAGGCTGGATGGCACAGGCTTTCCTGACAAACTTTATCTCTCATTGTGGCTCTTTTTTCTCGTTCCCCATCCATTTCTCTCTTCTTCTATAAAATAATCTATTGCTAGTTTTTTTTTTTCCCCCCCCTAGTGGATTTTTTAATGAAGTTTTCTGCCTGAAATTTTCTAAGAAAAACATGCTTATTATTGAACTAGAGGCCTGGTGCACAAATTTGTGCATGGGTGGGGTCCTTCAGCCTAGCTGGCAATTCGGGCTGATGGGGGTGTGTGGCAAGGGGGAGGGGCTGGTGGGCTCCCCAAGTAAGGCTGATGAGGGGGCCAGTCAGTTGGGGGAGGGACTGTGGGAGGTTAGCTGGCTGGCTGGCTCCCCCAATCAGGGCTGAGTGGGGTAGAGGGGAGGCCAGCCAACCGCAGGAGGTTGGCTGTGGGAGCACACTTACCACCAGGGGGCAGCTCCTGCATTGAATGTCTGCCCTCTGGTGGTCATTGTGCGTCATAGCAACTAGTCGACTGGTCATTCGGTTGTTCGGTGGCTTAGGCTTTTATATAAATAGATACTTGAAAAGAAGAAAATAAACAGGCATCAAGAGAAAAGCACTGTTAATAGTTTTCAGTAATTTCTTCTTGTTTTTTGCTTTTTTTTTTTTTTTTTTTTTTTTTATAACCTAGTTGAATTAATAATAACTAATAGTACTTGGCTTTTTTTAATGTACTTTATGTCAGGAATTCCCTCGAATCCTCCAGACACCTTTATGTGGGGGCACTACAGTCGCCCCTTTTACACAGGCACAGAGAGAGTCCTTATTTTACCTGCAGAGAGATACCTCTGTTACCACCCCCACTCTTGGTCTCCAGAGAGGGACTGAGGCAGACTTTGAATCTCTGCCATCTTGCTACAGAACCCATACGTTTTAAACAATACAGTCTGCCTTCCTGCGGGAAGAGAGCTTCTGTTTTTTCTTTCTGGTTAAATAGGTTCAGTGCTGCTAGCCTTTTTGCCATTTTTGGGGGGGGACCTTGATCATTGAATACCAAAGACTCTGGAGAAACAGGGCTGAATTCTAAGACTGACAGGGGTTGTCTTAGGCCCAGTCCCCATAGCCAGCAGACATATTTGCAGGTAAAACGCTGCCTTTTGTGCCCATAGACACGGAACTTGTTCGACTGCTGGCATCTGTCTGCATGCAGGTGAACAAAGAAAAAGGCCGGCCCAGCCACCCGCCGCCCCTGCCCCACGCGAAGGCCCGGCAGCCCTGGAGCGTCCCAGTGCTGCCCGACGACAAAGGCGGGCTCAAGGTTTGCCTTTTCTGTTCTCAAATGGCTTCTGAGAGTCAGATGGACAAGTGGGGGATGTCTGCCACTTCCTGTTAACCTAGGGCTAGTTTATGCATGGGGGTTGGGGGAGGGCTTGCAGGGGTGGGAAGTAAGATGGGGATGACAGTAGGGAATGGTGGGGACTGGGGAAAACTGGGGTGATCATAACCACTTAGTGACATCAGTGGCTGTTTTGTAAGAATATGGGTCCATGTTACCAGTTCTTCTGCTCCCCCCCCCCCCCCCAGAAGAGACTAGAAATCCAGATTTTGATGTGGGAACTCAATTTATAAATGTAGGGAACATTTTAAACTTCTGCATGATGTAGTCCTGAGCTAGCCAACGTGAACACCTCTGCTCTCACCCAGGCCATCTGCTTTAGTGGGAAGAACATCTTCTGGTTGTGCCATTCTGGGATCTCCTCATGGTCCACAGGCCCCCATCAGCTTCTTCCTAGAAACACCAAAACCACGCTGCAGTAGCTTATTTCTAACTGCAAGCCTGGTGCTTTTTCATTGAGCTTCTCATCCTCCCCATCTGCTCTACTTATTTGAAATCAAACTTATCCCCCTCCCAGCCCCATCCTGAGGTTCTAGTGCCTCCTCAGATCTGCAGACTTGGCATTCCTTTCCTGGGGCGACTCTAGGCCTGGATTCTTCCTCACCGTGCTGCTTGCATAGATCCCTCTGACCTCACTGCCATCTCTGAAGGCCAGGCTCTCACAGCCTTCCTTTGGGCTGTGCCTGTTACCTTCGACTGCAGCTGTCTTTCTAGGTGGGGAGGCATCAGCTACGGGGACACATGGCCAGGCCTGGGTATGGACACCCTCACGCCTCTCACATTGTCACTGGGATGGGGGGAGGAGCTCAGACAGTGATAGATGTTAAGGTGTTTAGTGTTGCCTCTGTGTCCATCTTTCTGTTCTTGACTCGCTGTAAGACTGAGCAAGGAGCACCCCTGCCCGGGTCTCCATGTCTCAATCTATCCCGTGCGGAGATTGATTAGATGAAGGGTGGCAATTAGGGCTCACTGCCACCTCCAGCCTATTGGAAATGGCTTCTCGGGCAGGGTCAGGAAGTCTTCAGACCGTCAGGCTTTATTGGGAAAGGGTGCTGTCTGTGGTCCATTGGTGACGCCCGCCGTGGGCCCAGGAGAAGGGAGGGGAAGCAACTGTGAAGTAGTCTCTGTCCCTGGGCTGGGTGTTCCTTTTCATAACCTCTGCTCCACTTGGCAGTCCTGGTGGAGCCGAATGTCCAATCGGTTTCGGAAGCTCAAATTGATGCAGACTCTGCCCCGTGGGCTGTCCAGCAACCAGCCATTGCCTTTCTGTGATGAGCCAGAGCCAGCGCTGGACACCACCATGCGGGCACCCCCCCAGGACAAGACCAGCTGCTCCGGGCTCCCCGATGCGGCCCCCACCATGAAAGACAACGGTAAGAAAAAGCTGCAGGTGCAGTAGAACTTCCAGAACAGTTAGACCCAAATCTCCTGCCCTACGTCCTACCTTCTAAGCTGCTATCAAAGGGGAGGTGATATTGGAATGGGACGGTGCAGCAGAATGGCACCTGTGTGTCAGCTTGGTAGAATCAGGGGAGCCGGTGGCCAGAGCCCTGGGAACTGTCGCACACACCCTGCGGAAGGACCCGAGGCCATTGGGAGGCGGCTTTCCCTCCCATCAAGCGTGATGCGTCTCTGGCACTGAAAGTGTTTTGAGACAGAACGAGTTTTCCCTGGGGGCGGAGGTATTTCACAGTCGGACGGCTTTACGAGGGAGCCAAAGGAGCTTCCACGCTGATGGGGGAACTGTTTAGATCAGATCTCTTCTAACAAGCGCCTCACACCCAGGCCAGCTCCTTGGGCACCACTGTCTGAGACAGACTATTGAGCTGGGTGTACCACTCTCTGACCCAGCACGGCAGTGATTTATGCAAAAGCTCAAAACATGCTCTGAGTTACATTCTTAATGCTTTCCTTTTATTCAGATATCGAATACCAATTATTATTAAATATTTAATCTCCCAGGAGGGTTGGTGGACCAGGATGAAGGCCAACCTGGTCACTCACTCACCCTCATGCCACAAACTTGTGGGCAGGGTTGGGGGTGGGTCATTTCAGGAAACTTCCATTTGTCTCTCAGGTCCTAGGAGCACGAGAGGAGAGAAGGAAGACGTGTTATTGACGACCATGGTGAGTGCGGGGCTTTTCCGAAAGCATTCCGGTCTCTGCCAGCCATTAGTTTGATTGGCTTACAGGGAGGGATGTGGGCACTTGTCGTTCTTGTGGTGGTCACGGCTGGGATTCCCATCACAGTGTGTTCCAGTGGGTACAGCTCTGGCACCGAGGAGTCAGAACAGATGCCAGCCTGAAACCGTGGGTCAGGCTGTGCTGGTGCTTACAGGGCAGATGTAAGCCCCGAGGATAGGGCATTGAAGGGTAGGAGTTGATGGGTGGCATTGGACATTTGGTATGGAGAGCCCCGGAAAAAGGACTCATAGAGAGAGGGTTTTCCAGCCTGAGCGAGGCCTCAGTTTCCTCATCTAGGGTTGTATCAAGGTTGAGTTCAGCTGTAAGTAGTAGAAACTCCCCAAATAACAGTGGCATACATAAGATAGCAGCTTATTTCTCTCATGTGATTGACGTTCAGGACCAGTATGTTGTTGTGTGGAGTTCGGGGCCTCGGTTCCACTACCTGTTGGTCTCCTGGGGATGGCTTCTTAGTCAAGGTGGCTCTGGGCATTCCAGCCAGCAGGAGAGACGAGATGGCCATGGGCACATAGGTGCCTTTTGAGAATTTTCCTGGAAACTCACATATCACTTCTGTTTACCTCACATGGGCCAGGATTTAGTCACATGGCCACATCACACTGCACAGGAGGTTGGGAAATGAAGTCTTTGTTCCAGGGGGTTGTGTGCCCAACTAAATATCAGGGGCGTCTACTAAGGAGGATGTGGAAGATGGATACTGGGGAACACCTAGCTCGCAGTCTGACTTAGGATGCTCTCTCACATGGCTATGGTTTTGAAATAAGGTCATCCACAGGGAGATCTTAGCATAGCGCCTAGTTCACAATGACCCGTTATACGCTGCTACTGCACCTCCTGGGCTCCTCCACTCTGGCATGAGAGTCTCCTGGTTGGGGTGGGACTGAAGTCCATACAATTGAGACCCTAATCTGGAGGCTGGCCAGGAGAGGGCAGTGTTGGAGAGGAGAAGGGAGCGGAGGAGCTGCCTTAGCAGTCCTAAGCTGCCTCAGGACTGCCCAGCAGCCATGAGTCTTGACCTGAATCTGCCTGCTCCTGTCCACCATGCAATAAGCATAGATTGGTGTCTGTGGGAGCGTGTACTGCCTGACATTTGATAATATTAAAGAGCAATACTAACTTTCGGTATGATGACAGAAAGACTGTTACTGACATTTGGGAAGGTGTTGTAAAATATAAAGGAGAAAAATAAAATCACCCATGATTACACATATAATCATAACTGGCATTTTGTGGTATATATCACTTGATCATTTTTTTCTAACATTTTTAGCACCTATGAATATGATATCGTGACACACACACACACACACACACACACACACACACACACATTATAATGGCAGATACTTAACACAGCACTTGTACCAGCTGCTATTATATCACTTTACAGACATTCACTCATTTAACCTCTCCGATCACCGTGCAGAGCAGGCACTGTTATCATCCCCATATTGTCCCGAGCTTGATTTGTTAACAGTTTTTCATCTTTTCTATGTCAGTGAACACTCTCTGTCCCCATCACATCTAACAGCTGCGTGACACAACATTCCATTCCATCATGGGAATGTGCCTGAGTGACCGTGAAGCCTGACCTTTGGGCTCTGGGGTTTTTAGTTTTTTATTGTTGTTGTTTTAAAGCGCTGGTGAATATCCTGTGACTCAGTTCCCCCCCACTAGCCTGATGATTTCCTCGGGATAAATATCTAGACATGGAGTTCCTGGATCAAAGGGTGTGAATGTCAACGTCATTGCTTTCCAGACACAGGGCCACAATTTAGACTCTCGCTGAAGGAGTGAACATGTCCCGCTGTGGTGGTTTGTGGCTCCTAGGTCATTTTCCAGTGCCGCCCCCATGTGCTGGATGGAATTTCTGAGGTCCAGAGGGAACAGCACTCGTTCACAGATTCTGAAAAGCCCAGTATAGCCATGCTGGGAACCCAGGGTGCCCCCTCTGCCTTGGACCTCTCCTCTCCACCTCCTCGTGCCCTGTAGAGGGCAGCAGTATGCCCACCTGCCCCTTGGCAGATGGAAGCTGCTGGGGAGCCCTGCTGAGTGGGCATTTGCAGCCATCCTTGCGGAGATGCCCAGCTTGGAGGCAGGTTTAGCTGTGGGATGCCCTTCCCTGCAAAGCACCATCTGGCACGAAGTTCAGTCTTTTCTTAATTAAAGTTAGCGTGGACTGTGAATGCTTTCCCTTGACAGTGCACCAGTCATGGTGTAGATTTATACTGACCCTAGATCACATTTTCAACATTTTAAATTCAGTTACAGTTAAAAATGCCAGCCGTGGGAGGTGGGGCTGGAGAGCAGGATGGGTGTGGTGGGATGAGGAAGGGAGTGTTTGCTGGGCTCACGGAGAGCTAGCCTGTGCCTGCCAGTCCCCTCTTCTCTCCCCTCCATCCTAAAGCCCCAGCTGTGATCACACAAGTCGCCTTGCAGTTCTGCACGTGGCCTGCTTCTCCCCAGGCCTTCCCACATTCTGTTCGCTCCATCTGCAGTGTCCTTTTCCCTGTCCTCCCCGGGGCCAGCTTGCAGTGGCCTTCAGGCTCAGCTCAGGGGCCCCTCCTCCAAGATGCCCTCTCTGCCTGCAGCAAGGAGTGCCTCCCCTATGCTCTGCCAGCTCCCCTGCCTGCCCCACAGCACACCTAACATCACTTGGCTTCACCTCGGCTCTCTGTCCTCTTCCTGTTCCAATCATGCTGCTGGCGATGGTTCCAGGAGAAGCCAGGAGCTGGAGCAGAGCAGACGTGGGTATTGCTCGGTTGCTGGGTGGGGAGCTGAGGACTCCGTGTGGGTTTCTGGCTTGGGTGGAGGGGTAGGTAGATTGGTGTCCTTCTGAGAAGCAGAAGAAAGCTGGAGTCTTGTTCTCAGAGCTGGGAGCCCTCCGGGGCCTTTGTCTAACCCACAGCCTGTCTTTTTTTCAGCTTCGAAATGGAGCCCCCTTCACCAGACTCCCGAGTGACAAGCTGAAGGCCGTCATCCCCCCTTTCTTGCCCCCTTCCAGCTTTGAGCTGTGGAGCTCGGACCGGTCCAGGACATGTCACAACGGGAAGGCGGACCCCATGAAGACGGTGCTGCCCCAGAGAGCCAGCAGGGGCCACCCCATGGGCAATGGGAGCACAGACACCGTAAGTCGCACAGACACTTCGATGTGTCACTCACCGCTTGCTAAAATAGTGATGTGTTGTAGGTACAAGGTCAGACCCACTAAACCATAGAGGTTAAATAAAGCTTTTTTATTTTATTTTCTTAAGTCAATGACACCATTTACCTAACGAAATCCTATAAGGGACTTAATTGTAAATAGATTAGAGTCAGAGTGAAGGGAATGAAAGCAGGAACCCCTCTTCTCTGTCCTCTCTCTGGAACCCCGGGGCTCCAAGGAACACAGTTTGAAGACCTGAGCTAATTCAACCTTCCCTTCAGTAGCTGAGGACCCTGGGACCCAGAGAAGGGAAGTAATTTGCTGAAGATCATCTCGGTAGGGTACACCTGAGACCAAATATCAGATTCTTGGTTTTTAATCAAGCTCTATACTATGTTGTTGTTGAGGTCCATGACCAAGAGCAAACACTAGGAGGCAGCTGTGTATGATACTGGTGTTTTCTAGCACCCAGAAGGATTGTGATTCCATCCTCTGGACCACAGTGGTTTCCATCTCTGTGACCCTCAGTGTCTCTAACACACTGAGGTATCCCTCTTGAGGGTGGGAGGTTATCTCCATATGTAGATGGTCTACCCCGTGGCAAACCAAAGATGAGGATTTTGGACCTGCCCTGCTGCTCTGTGCTCAGTGACTGGAGAAGGTCAGGGCCTCCATCTCTGATATAAAATGGGGCTGACCCTCGTGCTTGCTGCTGCTTCCCTGGGCCACTGTAATATCAAATCTCTGCAGAGAAATCAACTTGCCCTGGAAATGGCAGGGTGGGCTTACATTTAGTCCACAAAGTGGGAGGAGTGGCGTGATCCTGAAAGCAGGGTGGGACCTGTGGGAATTGATGTCACGGGGGCTCAACCTGAACTAATGGCCAGATTGTCAGCAGGTAGAAGTGAGCTCCCATCCTTAGGGGACTCCTAGCAGGCTGAGCACTGGTCAGCAAGGGTGTGCAGGGCAGCTGCAGGCATTGGCTCTGGAGGGCCAGCTGAACTCCAGGCTCCTCCCCGCTGAGATTCCGGTGTCCAGAGGGAGGAACAGCAAACCCTAACCATAACACCATCCTTGTACTTGCAGACTCCTGTCAGGCCGGTTAAATTTCCATCTCTCTCCAGAAGCCCAGCTTCTCCTGCCAATTCTGGAAACTTCAACCAGTCACCTCATTCCTCAGGTGGCTCCAGTGGGGTAGGGGGCATGAGTAGGCACGGCGGGGAGCTGCATAACCGCTCAGGTGGGTACCGGGGCAGGGCCGTTTGGGGAGGTGGGGAGATCCCTTGGGGCTGTGCCAGAAACAGTTCCAGAAACAATTGCATGCACCTCATCTTCTTGATGTGGCCAAGAGATTTTTTTCCGTGACTTCACAATTCTGAGTTTCTTCCCTGCATTTTCTTGGGGGCTAGAGTAGAGACAGAGGAAATAAAGTTTGTAGTACTTTAATTTCTTGAAAATTTTTACAAGAAATTAGGAGAAATGTATGGCGTTTCATGGTGTTTAAAATTCTTGAAGATAAAACCTCAGAGAGCTGTTTGTTCTTGAACAGATGAGGAAACTGAAGCTCAGAGCGGACAAGAGATTTGCCCAGGGACATGCAGCAAGTCGGTGATAATTAGGACTCACACCCAATGCCCCACAGTTATTTTGACCTTATAGCATACTTTCTTGTCCTCTCTAAGGGCATGCAGGATTAACCAAAGCCAGCTTTGCAGGAAAGACACCCTGCTTTATGCCATTACAAGGAATGCTTGTGTCTTGTAGAAAAGCTTTAAGACCAGATAAACCTAAAGATAATAGTAATGATGATGATGATGATAAAAGGTATAATCTCACCCACTGGACATTATCAGTAACATTTTGGTATATGTCTTTGCAAAGTACTTTTATGCATATTGTATTTATGAAAGTGGAATAATTTATAGAGCACTGAGTATGTACCAGGCATACTATCAAACCCTTGAAATGAATTATCTCCTTCAGTCCCCCAACAGCCTGCAAGGATACATTCTCCATTTTACAGAGGAGGGAGCTGGGGCTCAGGAAAGCTAAATAACTCGGCCAAGGTCACACAGCGGTGAAGCGGCAGAGCCAGGACCTGGACCCAGGCAGGCTGACTTCAGAGGATAGAGTGCTCGGCAACCTTTTCCTTTTTGCACACACATCACCCGAATGTGAACACCTTTTAATGTTCGTACACCTCTATCTGCAGCATCTTTTTAATAGCCAAAGAGCAGTCCATTCATAAGAGGTAGCACACTTTTATACACCAGTTCCTTATCTTGAACACTGAGGCTGTTCTAGAATTTTGCTCTTATAGATAATAACCACATTAAGTAATGCTTTCCTACCTCCATATTTGCATACTCAGTGATTTGCTTAACATAAGTTCCCTCAAATCAGGGGTCAGTGAGTTTGTCTGATTTCAAGGCCTTTGATACATTTTTGCCTTTCAGAATGACTCTTTTTATACGTGTAAGATATTTACCGCAGTTCATGGTAAACGCCCTGTAGATGTTAATGATTAGTGTCCTCCCTCTGGCATCTCTCCGAGCCCTGCGTATTACCACTTTCCTTTTTTCTTTCATAATTACTCAAGGTTGCCAGTAGATTTGGGGGAACTGGGATAGGGAACGTGGTAGTCAGGGTTCAAGCAGGGAAGATGACATCCCGGTGCTAAGAATGAGGAAGTTCTGGAATGTGAAGGTCTGAAAGGGGGAGGCTGAGGTGGAGGGAGGAGCCCTGGTGAGGCTGGACAGGTTGAAGGCGCTGCACAGGGCTGCAGTGGGAATTCAGGGCAGGGTGGGCAGGCACCTGTGCCTGCGGGAGGCTGGCTAGCTGGCTATGGTGTGGGGAAAATTGAGGACAAGCTGATTTTGCCAGCCCTGCATCCTTCACTGCCTCTAACCATGATGCTTTCATCACACAGTGGCCACTGCATCTTGGCCACTTCTGGTTCTCCTGCAGTGTCCTTTCGTGGTCAGCCCTGACCCAGAATCCCATGGGGAGGGATTCTGGGAGATGTGGTTTCTGGCTCCTTCAGGTCAGCACAGGGAGTCCACTGCACTGTGACAGTAACTCCCATTCCTCTTTCCGCAGGTGGCAGCATAGACAGTGTCCTGTCCCAGATTGCTGCCCAGAGAAAGAAAGCAGCCGGACTCTCTGAGCAGAAGCCCAGCCATCAGTCAAGTCCTATTGGGCCAGCCCCTGGGTCCAGCCCTTCTGAACAACCGGTCTCCCCTGCAGGTGGTGGCAGTCCCGGTGGCAAGGTGCTTGTTCTCCTTCTGTCTCCTGTTTTGTCCTAACATGGCCCACATGCTGGGTGATGGGACTCAAGACAGGCCCCTTCCAGCAGCTGCTCCTGGGTTTTCTGAGAAGGGCTGGACTGTGTGGGTAGTTGCTGAGGTCACGCCCTATGCCCTGGGTCCCCTGCACACATGGTCATCTCCCGTCTGATTTCCAGGGCCTCAGCAGATGCCTCATCCAGCCTCGCATTGCACATGTTTGCTCATTGGTTAGAGCAAAAGGATTCAGAGTGTGGGTTCAGGAGCAGACTGCCAGGGTTCAAATCCCAGCTCCACACTTTAGCATTTAGGATGGGGCCTGGCCCCTGGTGAGCCTGTATGTCAGCTGTGTTGACATTTTTGGCACTACCTTATTCATTCATTTGGAGCTTCTGCTCTGTGCCTGGCACTCTAGCAGTGAGGATTCTGCAATGATTTGGGGTCTTGTGACCACTGTCAGGGGGTTACTGTGACACGCAGTTTCACCTCTGTGGTACTTGCTGTTGTGGAGAAGGGAGGATGCCCTCCCAGTTTCAGGGCGTCAGTGACATCTAAATGGGGAGCAGAAGAATGAGGAGCCAGATGGAAGGATCAGGAGTGAGACTGTTTCAGGATGAGGGGACAGCTTCGCAGCACTCCAGAAGCCAGCGTATACAGAGGGGAGGGGCCGAAGGAAGGCTGGTGAGCAGGACAGGACAGAGCCAGAGCCTCACCTGCCTGCTTTGAACCATTCCTCCTGTGATGCAGCCCAAGAGCCATCACTGCATTGTTTGCATCTGTGGGGTTTGCAATGGGCAAGAGACCCTAAATGCTTCTCTGGAATGGTGCAGTGACGCCCAGTTCCTCCTCTGAGAGGACACCAAAGCCAGGCGTAACCCCGTTCTTTGTCATATTTTTTTAGATCTTAAGCTTAAAGTTATATCACCTGAAAGTCTCATCCTTGGATCTTTGTCCAGAAGTGCCTCCAGAGGTTGATGTTTTAATGGATGAATGGGAAATAGTCTTTATTTCCTGCCCAGCCACTGTTCATTACACACTTGTTATTCAAAGTCCCTTTTGCAATTGGACCTACATAATTATGCTCCTTTTACAATATAGCTCCAGAAAAAGTTTCTCTCTTTATGCATTAGCATATTTTCCATTATATTGAAATTTTCTTGGGTAATAGGATCTATGTAATTAAGTTCCTTTTAGAATTTGGCTCTAGGAAAAAGATCTCTATTGATACTTGGATATATTTTCTTTCCACAAATAGTATGAATTATATACTTATTGTATTACTCTTTTTTGCCTTTGCTGCTAGGAAACTCAGAACTACTCATTAAAGTAAATTTGCTAGTCTGGGCTCTGATATAGTTGTCCTCTGTTGCCTAAAATTTCCTGCTTCTATTTTGATGACCTTATTAGATGTGTTGGATATTATTTCTTTAATTGGTGTTGGAAATAGACATACAAATTATAAATTATATTAACTATTGTTTCACATGAATGCATCTATCATCTATAATCTCTATACATGCATATTCTGATGAATGGAAATTGTGTCAAAAGATGCATTCGGGAAAGAATAAACTGGGGAAACGATCCAGTACAATGATCACCTGATAGTCTTAACATAATGATATGCTGTAACCTTCAGGTTTCTGGGCTCCACCCATCATAATGAATGAAACTATCCAGACAGGATCTGGGGATTCTGTTTTCCCCCCAGAGCGTTGAAGCCATCCCAGCCCAGAGCTCTCAGAAACCACTGCCCTAAATCAAAGGACACCAGGAGTGGCTTTCTGTCAGTGGCTCCAGCAGCAAAATGGAGACATAAAGGGCTTTTCAAAGACTCCCTCAGGAAGCATTAGAAATTAGTATTCAAAATATGATCCTCCTGAATCTGTTTTTTGTACTTTGCTTAAAACAAGCTCTACTGTCATAGTGGAATGTTCACAAGGCATGGCTTCTAGCTGGTTTGTGAGTCAGCATGAAGTGAGCCTTAGGAAGCACACAATGGGGAGTTCAGAGCATTTTCTTACACTTCCCAGATCTCTGAATGCCTAAAGGTCATTTCTGCTTCCACCCTAAAGCTGAGTGGTTTAAAACAAAAAGCATTTCTTTAGCTCATGAATCCGCAGGTCAGCAGTGTAGGGAGGAGTGGACAGGGAGGAGTGGGCATGGGGCCAATAATGTAATCAGTCTTCTATATTGAGGACATGGGGAATAGTTCAGATGTTTCAGAGCACCTAAATCTTGTATTTACCTGCCCCCTTCCCAATAATGCTGCCCACAGGTCCAAAGTATCATGTTTCTTTGCTGCTGGCTGGGGTAGATCTGTTTTATAGACATATACTAATGAAGGACTTTTAGGAAAAACAAGATACTTAGCTCAAAATATCTTCCCCCAAATATTTCTTTATTATGAAGGGAAAAAGAGTAACTTTCCAATGGGAAAACCCAACAGATACCATCTTACCTAAGTAATGAAGGTTAACATCATGAGTAATAAGATACTGAGACATTGTGCCTCCTGGTATGACATGCTAAGAATGACACATCATGTCTGTGGTCATTGACCCAAAAACCCATAAGAAAATCTAATTATGAGAAAACATAAGAAAAACCCAATTTGAGGGACAGTCTACAAATATCTGACCAGGATTCTTCAAGTGTCATGGTCATGAAAGATAAGGTAGAACTGAAGAGCTGTCTGTCACAGATTGGAGGGGATGAAGACGTGACAAGTGTATGGAACGTGGGAAGCTGGACCAGATCCTGGTGAGAATGAGGGCATTAGTGGAACAAGCAGTGGAATGAAATCTGAGTAAAGTCTGTAGCTTAGCTAACAGTGTGTCCCAGTGCTAATTTCTTCATTTCGATAATTGTACTATGGTTATGTGAGATGTTAACATCGGGGGAAGCTGGCTGAGGGATACACAGAACTATGTTTTTGGAATTCTTCGGTAAATCAAAATATTTCTAAATTAAAAAGTGTTTTTAAAACCAAATGGTAAACACACACACACACACACACACACACACACACACACACACGCATGGAGACAATGTGTCCTTTGGTGAAAGGTTGGAAGCAACTGGTTTAGATGATCAGACATCAAGAGCAGAAAGGGGTTTCATGTGTACATAAGCCACACTTTCATGTTAGAACTGGGTTAACTGAGAGGTAGGGGACTTGGCCAAGGACCTGATGCTAGTAGAGGCAGGACTCATCACTGAATTTCCTGACTTAATGGGCTGCTTTTTTCATCCCACTGCTCAGCTCCAGGGAGAATTCTCTTGTAACTGTTCTAGTAATAATACTGTGTTTACTTTCATGTGTTTTTTATTTTTTAATTTTATTTATTTTTTCATGTGTGTTTTTTTAAAAAAATAGATTTCATAATCCTGGTTAGATATCCTGTTGAATGTTCTCTGTTGTATGTCTGTTTTAATCATTTCACCTTCCAGGTGATAGCTATGTATTTGTCTTAATCTTTTGTGCAGAAACTGGAGATGAGCAAAAGGCCTCCGTCTGGAACTTCCACTACCTCCAAAAGTACCTCCCCCACCCTCACCCCCTCCCCTTCGCCCAAAGGCCATGCAGCCGAGTCCTCGGTGTCCTCTTCTTCGTCCCACCGGCAGTCCAAGAGCAGTGGGGGCTCTAGCAGCGGCACCATCACCGATGAGGGTGAGTTCCCTGAGGTCCTGAAACCCACCCTTTACTTCACCATGGTGACCTGGCAGGTGCCTTTCATTGCTATAGTCATCCTAGGTCAGGCTTATTGGTTACAAATAAACAACAACACTGGCCCCTCCCCTTCCCTGATTCTACCTTGTATTTTTGTCTTCACTGTGCTTAAGGTATGGTAAGCCACCTCATAGGTTTTGAATGTAGTAAGTTTTGTTTATATACACAAACACATGCCAGTAGAACTATTTCTCCAACAGCAGTTAGGGACTACTCCCTGAATCTTGTATAAATCAGAATTCTTTCAGTTGAAAGTGATGGAATCTCCACTCAGTTGCTTTAAGCAAAAACAAAACCTCATCATTTGTTGGTTCATATGATGGATGTGTCTAGGGTGTGCTTCAGGTATGTCTGGATCCAGGTGGTTTGGGAGTATTTCTCTCCACATCTCATGTAGGCTCTCTCTGAGTGATGACAAGGTTGTTCCCAAGCAGCTTTCAGCTTACTTCCTCTTCCTACTAACTTAGTAACCCCAGCAGAAAGAGTGCTGACTTCTCAGTAGATCCAACAAAATCCCAAGCGGAAAGGTCATTGGCCTGCTGTGGGTATCTTTATCACAACTTGTGTCATCTTTGACTACCTCTGGATCCATGGGGGTGAATGTGCTGACTGGCCAGGCCCAGGTCTTGTGTCTGTCTTTGGAGCCAGGGTTGGAGTCTGCACTGCCTACACGGTATGGATTGGAAGTGAGAGAGAAATGGCTCTTCACAGGAAAATTGAAGTGCTGTTTCCAGAAAGAGGAGGAGGATGGATGCCAGGCAAGCAAAAGCTGTAGACGTCCACTGCTAACAGGACTTGGGACCTGCACGCATGAATTGAAGCCTCTCCCGAGGGGGTGATGAGGGAAAGGAGGAGCGGATGGCAGGGCAGGCGAGGAGGCCCAGCAGTGAGGCCCCAGGAAAGATAAAGGGAGATGAAGAGAAGGTCATATATTAACACTGCCCTGGAAGTGGGGGTGGGGAAGGGGGGAGCAGAGCTCCCGTGAGAGATAGGGGCCCAGGCAGGTGCAAATCAAGGAGTATAAATCAGAGAGGGGTGGAGAATCTCAGTGTGCATATGGGCCTCACCAATGCATTTGCAGGTCCCTCCCTGCAGCTGCAGGGCGGTCAGGCTGAGCAGGTTTCTGCCCAGCAAGTGATAAGTCAAAATCAGCTGCTTAGGCTCTAGTCTGTCCTGAGTTGATAAATGCATGCTGCTGTTGGCATCCTCTTTATTGTTTTGTGATATCTAGTGCGATCATTTATAAAAGCTTCAGATTTCACTAGCAAGCCCATTCCTCCTGTGTTTTCTAGATGGAATCTTTAAGTTTTTACTCATGAATTCTCTCACCTCAGAGGCTTCCAGGAGTTGAAACCCCTAATGTTTCAATTTGATATTTGTACCTCACCTTTTTCCAAAGTGGACATGTGCATGCATTGTCCATGCCCACTCTTTCCCTCTTTTATTCATTATTTAAAATGTTTGCAGAGCCCTAGTTGGGATGGAAAAAAGAGGAGGACTTGACAGCGAGTTCTTTTTGGGTTAATTTCTCTTTCTTAGAAATTAAAGCTCAGTTTTTCCTTCTGGGGCTTGTGGGTCCTGAGGCAGTGAGATCCTTGTCCTGTGGGCATTAGATTGTCGCAGAGTAGACGATGAAATCCATCGATAAACAGATGTTCTTTATATTTTTGTGGGAAATGTGTGGCCCCAATCAAGGGCCGCATGCAAGCCTTTGCTGCCCATCTTTCCATCCGTGTCCCTCTCTCCGGACTCCTATTGGAAGTCGCCTTCTCACTCTCACATTCATCTCATGAAGGCTTCTAGGCAGGCACCTCGTGTGCTGGGTGGTGGGATAACTCACCATCAGGCAGGGGAGTCAGATGCATTCAGTGGAAGGTCATGAAATGATTGTAACACAAGATGTGAGCAGCAAAGTGTAGAGTTTATAGCAGGCTTCGCCAGAGCGGGCATTCAGCCAGGCCACAGGGCTGAGAAGAAATGAGGCAGTGGTGGGCCAGAGCTGAGTGTTAACTTTACAGGAAATGTATGAGCTGGTGATTAAACACAGCTATTAAAAGTCAAAGTACAACAATTATATATATATGGTGATGAAAAAGGAAAAAAAAGTACATGAATTTATAGTTAGATAAATTACATTAAGTATAAAGGCATTGGTATTTAAAACAAATTTTTTTTGCCTTTTTTTAGTGTGTTTTCGTAACGTCTATGCTCTTGAGGTTATTTACATCTTGTTTATGGATATGGTGGGAATCCTATATAATAAAAGGCTAATATGCAAATCAATTAACCAGCAGAGCAACCACACACTGCCCACAAGGGGGCAGACACTCAATGCAGGAGCTTCCCCCTGATGGTCAGTGCACTTCTACAGGGGGAGGACCCTCAGCTAGAAGGCAGACACAAGATCTGGGCCTGCTCCCAAGCGGTCAGTCAGACATCCCCTAAGGGCTCCCGGACTGCTAAAGGGTGCAGGCCAGGCTGAGGGATCCCTCTCATAAGTGTATGAATTTTGTGCATCTGGCCTCCAGTATTATATAATGATGCATTAATCCTGTATTTCTCTTCCCAGTTCCATTTTCAGGAACATTACATTGGTAGGTTGAAATCAGCTATGATGGGTGTATTTTACACCATGGAAATCCACAAACACCACCAGTCAGGGCTAAGTTTGTTGTTTTATAGCTCACCTAGATGTGATCTAGTTCATGGGAGTCAATGTTAACTGCAGGTTAAACTTAAAAGTGTCATGTCTGGTACTGATATGCTGTGAATAGCATAAGAAATTGAGAAAATATTCTTCCAGGATTTGAAAACTGTTATCTAATTCAGCCAAGTTTGCTCACATGAAGTTCTAACCTACTAATATGTCTTCATTGTTTCATTTCATCTTACATATCACATAAAAGGAACAATTAACCAGCCTTTATATTGGAAATACGTTGCGCTCACTAGCTATAGGTACAAGAATTCAGTGAGACACCTGAAATGCAATGAGAACAGTTATATGGAATTTATAATAAAGAGTATTGTATAACCTATTATCATATGTAAATTGTGCATTACACATTCTTTATGTCAGTAAACTCTGCAGTAAACTTACATACCTACGCACATGAATACATTTCCCCTGAGAGGCACTTGTTAACCATTTAACAGCACAGCACTGTGGAAGGAGACTGCATGTGGAGGGAACAGCAGGAGCAAAGCTTTTGGTGTCATGAAACTACATTGGATTATGTCTAAGTTGGGACTCAATTCATCGCATACATCCTAGCTCAATAGCAGCTCTTCAGTGAAAGATCTTCAGCTCCTTCGGCTGGGTCAGCTGTCCCCTCTGTCCCCAGACCCTCTTGTTTGTGCCCTTCACTCATCACCAATGGGAGAGCATGGTGAATAGTACAGACCTGGTAGCTAGAGCTTGGGTTTGAGTCCGCTTGGACTGGCTGTATGACCTACCCAGAATATGGCACCTAACCTTTCTGTGCCTTACTTTCTCATCTGTAAGTGGGAAAATAATAGGATCTACCTCATGGGGTTTTGTTAGGAGCAAATGGGTCATCCATGTACCAGGTGCCTAATGGTAAGCAGTGTGCATCAGTTGTTACCTCTTCATTATATCTTCCCAGCCACACTGAGCTCCTTCATAGCAGGAACCTTTCCATGCTGGCATTCCCAGCACACAGTAGACGCATTGGTAGCCACTGTTGAATGAGTGAATAAAAGAAAGAACTCAGGCCTTATAACCTCCAGTTCACTCTTCTGTGAACTGCACCCACTGCCCCAGGACCTTTGCACTTACTGTCCCCCCTGCCTGCTACTCTTCCCTTGACATCTGCACATCTTCATTTAGTACTCAAAGGATGTCTTATAAAAGAAACCTTTCCTGACCATCCTCTATAAAATAGCATCCTAAGCCATCAGTCGGGCATCCCCTGAGGGCTTCCAGTTTGCAGATGGTGCAGGCCAGGCCGAGGGACCCTCCCTCCCCCACCAAGTGCACAAATTTTGCGCATCGGGCATTTAGTATTATATAATGATGCATTACTCCTATATATCTCTTCCCAGTTCCACTTTCAGGAACATTACATTGGAAGGTTGAAATTGGCTATTATGGGTGTATTTTACATACTGTTCTGTTTCTCCTTTGTCAGCCTGCTTGTCGTCTATTTGGTCCCTATTGAGTCCTCAATGCCTAGTCTGATAAATACTTATTGAATGTGTGAATAAATATTTCTTCAAGCCCTCAGATGCTGGTCTTGTTTTCTTTCTCTACCCTCCCTACTCTGATATCTCGATACCCAAAATATTCTGTTTTCCCCTGGTCTCTGCCCCTCTGGCGCTGCTGCTCCACTGAGATGTGACCTTCTTACTGGAAGCCCACAGCCTCTGCCTAACCCTGACTGTGGTCTCAACCGCACCTGCTTCTTCTCTTAAGTTCTTTGTCTGACTAGCTGGGGACTTGCTGGCATTAGCGTTCACTGCAGGTGCAGAGACCAGCAGTCAAGAAATCATAACTAAAAACTGTTCTTGGACAGAAGGCGGAGTTTTAGTCCCAGCAGCTAGAATGCCAGGAACTTGATGGTTGCAGCCATTGGAGAGTCAATGAAAGTTTGAAGTTCGCTCTTTTAATACATTTATCAAATTTTAAAATGGTATTTTTTCCCCCACATCTTTCCCTCTTGAAGATGAACTGACTGGAATCCTTAAGAAATTGTCACTTGAGAAATACCAGCCCATTTTTGAGGAGCAAGAGGTAAGGATGTTCTTTCTGAATGTCAATTTAAATCTTGCTGCTAAAAACATTTGTCTAAATATGTGGGTTTTCATTTTGCCAGCTTTGATCTTTTTCACTGAGACAGCTGAGGAAATAGAATTCGTGTTCAGCACATTTAGTTCAGTTCATCACTGTGAGATCCTGGGGACCTTATGGCTTGTTTTGTTGTAATAAATGTTTGTAATTTTGAGCGCTGCTCTCTCTCTCATCAAGTTTGAGTCTGTCCACACACTTGTCAAAGGGGATTGACTGACAGGCCTGTAGGTTTAAAGTGGATCAGAGGCAAATCCTAATGATTCTGTGCTAAGTGTCTGGCTATAGAGTCTGTGTTCATCTGACAGAGTTCCTATTTGCTTCAAAGCACTCACAGTCACATATTTAAAATATGACTGTCCTGTAGTTTGGTAGTCTCTCATAATGTTAGACATAGAGTTACTGTCTGACCCCACAAAGGTATATACCCAAGAGAAAGGAAAACACATGTCCAAACAAAAATTTGTATACAAATGTTCATAGCAGCATTATCATAGTAGCCAAAAGGTCGAAACTATCCAAATGCCCATTGCACTGTACAACAAACTGTAACTTGGTCATAAAAAAGGAATGAAGCACGGACACATGCTACAACAGGATGAACCTTGAGAACATGACACATTGATAAGTGAAAGAAGCCAGACACAAATGGCCACATGTATGACTCCGTTTATATGAAATGTCCAGAATAGGCAAATCTGTAGAGACAGAGATTGCTAGGGAATGCAGGGAGAATAGATTGGGGAGACAGAGATTGCTAGGGAATGCAGGGAGAATAGATTTCTAACGGACAGGAAAATGTTCTAAAATTGAATGTGGTGATGGTTATACAACTCTACTAAAAACCTTTGAATTGTATACTTTAAATGGGAGGACTGTATGATAGATGAATTATATCTCAATAGCTATTAAAATATTTTCTCTTTTGGCCAAATAAAATTCTGTGGATTAAGTCAGGGTGTAATCACTGGTTTAGAATATTCTGGTGCTCAGCTTAGTACATGGAACTGTCATAAATATAGTAGCAATCAAGAGAATCAGTCCTTGTCCCCAGCAAGCTCAAGATGCAATTAAGGAGTTTGTATTTCCTTTCAAGAAACAGACTGGGGTGATGTGACTTTCTTCCCCGTTTTGCTTTTCTGCCCTATCCGGTCTGTCCTTCCCATCTCCCTGGAGTTTTCCATTTGAGCAGGGATTTTTATGGTCAACAAGAAAGTCTTTTCTGTTTGCTGATGGCTGCCTACTCTTGCTTTACATATTCCCTGCCTTCTGAGGAGCTGGCCACAGGGAACTGGATGTGGTGTCTCTGCCACATGTCTGGGGTGGGGGCAGAGGGGAGTGAGTGTCTTGCCTGTCAAGGGGCAGGTGGTTTCAGTCAAAACCATGGCACTCTTTCGTGCCTGAGCAGTGAAGTCCCAGAGGAGCTAATCGTCAGAGAGATGGGAGATGGATTGGATGCATCTCAGAGTAGACCTTTTCCCACCAACTCAAACCTGGGCCAAGATTTTTTTTTTTTTTAATCTGGGAAAATAAAGTGACTGTTAAAAGAGAGAAGGAAAGATGGGGTGGAAGGTGTTTCTCCTGGAGCTGAGGCTCAGGCAGGAATGACAGAAAGGATTTCTCCCGTAGAAATCAAGTTACTGGGGTCAGACAGTAACTCTGTACGGCTTTGGGATGCCCTTACTCTGAGCCCTTCTCCACCTCCGTTCGCTGTGCTTTTCTTTCCTTATTGCTTCTGCTTGTTTATTTTCTCTATCTTTCCACAGTCTGCGTCTCTCTTGTCCTCTGGGGGGAAACATGGTGAGTACTTCCATTTACCCTTACTTCCTGTGCAGTAGTCAATATTGTTAAAAGTCCCACAAAACTGGGATTTACTTTCTAACAGCAGGACTTGGACATTTACCACTCTAGCCACCCAGATTACTGCTCGAAGGCTTTTCTTACTTTTTCATCTTCAGGATTTTCCAGAAAATTCCAGGGCTGGAGTTCAGGAGAGTTAGTTCTTACTGATACTTTCAACTAAACCTTCAGCATAAAGTCAGGAATTGGAAATAGTAAGTCATAATTAATTCACTACTAATAAGCACTAATAGCTCATAATCATGATATTTCCATCGTGGTTGGGCACAGAGGTGTGGCACCAGGCGGATGGTAGCGAATCTCCCACTTTCTCCCCAGGTGGATATGGAAGCGTTCCTCACCCTCACCGACGGCGACTTGAAGGAGCTGGGTATTAAGACAGATGGATCCAGGCAGCAGATTCTGGCAGCAATTTCTGAACTGAATGCAGGCAAGGTATTGTTCTCAATCTTCTTTATTTTTTCTCCCCCTGTTTTCAACAGCTCAGAGCTCTACTAGGATTCTAGGCCCTCCATGTTTCCAAGGATCTTCGGAGTCTAATTTTATCCCCGGCATATTTGACAGAGGCTGGCTCTGCTTGCATGCGTCTCATGACCAGGTGCTCACTGCCTCCGAGTAAGACCTGTTCCTTTTCCAGGTCTCTCTTCCCATAAGGTTGTTTCTCTTGAGATTCAGCTAAAATCGTCCCTCCAGTCGAAACAGGTTTGGCTCAGTGGTAGAGCGTCGGTCTGCGGACTGAAAGGTCCCAGGTTCGATTCTGGTCAGGGGCATGTATGTTGGTTGCGGGCATATCCCCAGTAGGGAGTGTGCAAGAGGCAGTTGGTTGATGTTTCTCTCTCATTGACGTTTCTAACTATCTCTCTCCCTTCCTCTCCATAAAAAATCAATAAAATATATTTTTTTAAAAATTAAAAAAAATAAAATAAAATAAAATCGTCCCTCTGGTAATTTGAACCTATAGGGCTGGGAAATGCCCTCGAGAGCACACTGGAAGCAGGGACAGTGATTAAGACATGCCCTGCTGTCAGGCCGACCTGTGTCTGAATCACAACACCTGCACCCACTCTCTGAGCTACCCTGGGCAAGTCAGGTACCTCTCTGAGCCAGGCTCTCCTTGTCTGTAAGGCGGGAATGATGGCATTGATGCCAGGACTAAAATGCTTTGAGCTCCTGGCACACAGCAACCCATCAATCACTGTTGGTATTGTTGGCATCCTGCGTTTTTGCCTAATGTTAAATTTCACCTTTAAAGATTAGCAATGCCTCTTTCTCACCCAAAGGCACACATGTGCAAAACACAAACAAACAAACAAACACGAAAAGCAAATCACACCCACTTTGTAGATATTAGTCCAGCAGTCATGTTTCAGTAGCATTTGGCCATTGACATGCCTTTGCCTTCTGTGTTTTTCCTTCATCTGGGCTGGGTTTATCGTCTCTCATTCCAACAGCAACGTACAATACTTGCTTATCTGCTGTTTTTCCACACTTTGCCTAATGGCTCCCCATTTGTTGCACTATAGTGCCTCGTCTGGGATTTTGCTGTTACAGCAACTACCATAGTAGGCATCTCTGCCTCTTGTCCTTCTGTGGTTTATTCCTCAGGCTCTGTTCCACGATACGAGGTTATGTCAGAGAGCATGATCAGTTTTATGGTTCTTTGTATTGCCAGGTATGCACAGAAGTATTGACCAGACTTGTAGCACCAATAGCAAATAAATATTCAGGCAGCACTTTGTCATTCATAGCAGAGTTGCATACGCTACCGCAGTTAATTGGCTTAGTTTTCAAACCTTCCTCCTTTGGCCTTCAGAGATGTGAGCCAAGGAGAGGATGGAGGTGGGGAAAGCCACATGTGGGCCAGTAAAGGAAGGACAGAAAAAGTTCTAGATGTAGAACATTTTAGCCTAAATTAAAAAGAAAAAAAAAAAAGAATATTAACTAAAAACCTGTCTCAGCCATAAAGAAAAATCAGAAAAGCACCGTGGACCCTCAGCCTGTAAGCCATGTAACTTCCGTGCAAACCCACTCTAATATTCAGGCTGCTGTATGTATGTGAGTCGGCTGATTAGTTAGTTTCAAGTAGTTTATATGTTAAAGAAATGATCACCTGAGTTTCACCTTTGATTGGTCTTAAGCCATTGATTGCTTTTTTCTTCCCATTCCCACTTTTTGTGATTATCAAAGCAGTACATATTCATTTTACTAAATTTGCACAGTAACCGAAAAGGCGAATTTTTAAAGAAATCACAGTCAATCCACCCAGAGGCCAAGACTGTTTACATTTGAGAAGATTACTCTGCAGTATTCTGTGCCAAATGTTTGTCTTTATGTGGCTGAGATACATATATTTTTTTTTTACATCCTACCTTCTTTGTTTAACATTAAATATGCAGTTACCCATGCCATTAACAACTCCTTTTAATATAATAAGTTTGCATGGATCTACCAAAGTTACTATTTTTAAATTCCCACTTGTTGGATGTAGATATCCAAACTTTCTCTAGTGCTGCAGGGGGCAACTTTGTGTTTATGGCTTTCTAATAATTTGCTCAGAATAGATGTCTAAAGTGGAATTATAGAGCCAGAGAGTCTAATTCAAGGTTTACATTATCTTCTCTTGAATTACTTTCCAGAAAGAGCCAGTGAACATCCCCACTAGCTGTGGGTATGAGTTTGATATGTTGTTTAATTTTCATTAATTTGATAGGCCAAAACATGTGCCTTGTTTTAATTTGCATTTCTTTAACTATTAGACAGACAAAACACCTTTTCTACTTTTAATGGCTGTTTGCTTTTTTTCTTTTGAGAATTATCAGGCAGGTCCTTTGAAACTCAGGGGTTTTTAGGGGCAGTTATCATCATCATCTTTAATCAGTTGTGGATGCAGGAACGATTATGGTTCTTATCATCCACGTTTCCCTCCTAAGGTGAGGAGGCAGAGAATGCTGGAACCCTGTCTCGCTCTGACCTCGTTTCTCAGGCAATTAAGGCTGAGGTGATGCTTAATAATGGCATCGCTGTCACCCTCCTGTTTATTTTTTCGCCTTCTGCAGTTTGCATAGTGTCACCTCATTCATTATCTCAGGTTGAGCCTCATCACAGCCCCAGCATGCGACATTATTCCATTTTATAGGCATGGACACTCAGCAGTAAGGGGAAGAGAGGTGCATCATGCCCTAAGAGGCCCCCACCAGTGAGCATAGAGAGGGGACTCAGGATCCTCCACCCCCACACCTGCTCCTCTGCCTTCTGCCCTACAGCCTTCCGGTTTGTGTTGATGGAATCCTGGTGGCATTTTCCCAGCTTATTTAAAATGACCTGGAAGAGCTAACTGAAGGGAGACTCCCTCTGCCCTGTCAGGTGTCAGGGGCACCATGTCAGCACTAGAAAGCTCCACCTGGGAGTCTGGAGAGGGACCCCTCTGGATGTGGGGAGTTCATGAAATGAGAGAGTTTGGTGTCTGCGCTCATTTAATGGACTTGTATTCTTTTTATTCTTAGCAGAGAATAATCTGCCAGAGATTACTCATTTTTAATTTGCTTTACATTTTAACCACATTTATTTATTTTTCTTGATTTCTAAATATTTATTTTTTTGGTTTTAAAAATATATGTTTAAGCTACGCTGCTACCCTCTGGGGGCAGGAACTGTAGGCTTTTGCTGCTTACACAGGGTCCGCTGTCAGCAGCAGCCATTTAAGGCGCTATTATTATCCCTGTTTGATAAATAAGGAAACCAAAGCCCAGAGAGAAAAAAATTCTTTGCTCAAGGCCACAGAGCTAGTAAATGCAGAGAGGGGATTTGAACCCAGGCTGTTTAATTCCAGTCTCTAGTCTTAACCTCTGTGTATGGCTGCCTCTTGGCCAGGCATTCAGTGGAGATGTTCTCTAGGCTTAAAGACACATTTACATCCCCTCCTTTTCTATCTCAAACTGTGTGTGTAAGGGGGCAGGAAGGGGAGATCTTGCAGGGATGGGGTGAATCACTATGAATAGGAATGTGACGTCCTTTGGGCAAAGAGGAGTAAGGCTGTTCAAACTCTCACGCTGTAGCAGAAAGAAGTCTGGCTCCCACAGAATCCCCTGGAAACCCAAGGGCTGGAAGATCATACAAAGCAAAGCAGGGAAGGAGATCTCCTTTCTGTGCCGTGTGACCCGGGCAAGTCAGTCCTGCTTCCAGGGCTCTGCTGTTCATGCTCGTCCCTGGGGATTGGACTCCTGTGTCTCGGGGCCTCTCCAGACTTTGGCATGCTGTGATGGTGGGTGCTGGGGGAGAGCCTGACTCAGAGTGTCTTATTAAACTTGGTACTCAGTCAATTATTTCCCCAAGACACCCATAGGTTCTTCAGGTATGAGTTGAACATTAACAGCACAGTGTCAATTGAATTAATGGTTAAAAGATTTAACAAGACTTTCTGTGTCTGTTTTCCATTTCCTCCACAGGGACGTGAGAGACAGATTTTACAGGAAACCATTCACAACTTCCATTCTTCCTTTGAGAGCAGCGCCAGCAACACCAGGGCGCCTGGAAACAATCCCTGTACATGATCCTCCTTCCTGTGGCCACCAGCGTGAGCTTTCTGAATCTCAACACTGCCTCCACACAGCCAGTGTACCAGCCACCCTCAACTCTTCCCGGTTTCCCGAAACACTCAGTTCCTTGTCATACCACTGTGCCTTAGTCAGTCATGTTGTTCCCTCTGCCTGGAACACCCATCTTCCCTTGCCCTGCTGTAGTAGTTCGGGGGCCCAGCTTCATTCATCTGTGACTATGCCTTCCCAGGGGCCTCGGAGTCTTTTCTGGCTGGCAGAAGGGGAAAGGGATGGTGAAGGTGAAGGCACAGCCATTTCTTACTGCCTTGCTCTTAACTGCACCTGTTCCATTGGCTCCTCCTACTCCCATTCACCAGTGGTCACCAGCAGTCACATGGTCATACCTGGATGCAAAGGACACTGGGAAACGTAGTCTTTGTTCAGGAGTGGCTTCACAGCAACAACTCCTTCCTGAGGAAGAGCATGTTTTGGTAGATTAGCCTTTTCTGCTACATCTTTCTTTAAAACTTCTAACTTGTTCCAAACACTTAGGCTCATCTCTCAGATGAAGCCTTTTCTAAACCCCTCCAGTCACTGGGGTCCCTTACTGCTTTGTACATAACTCTGCTTTAATACCTCACTGCACCTACTGCATACATGCAACAGGATGTGTGTGTTGAATGCGCTTTTTTTTTATTTATCCTGGAAAATGGAGGAGGCTCATTGTGTGAACTTGAGAGATCCCTTAGCTTTCTGGCCCTCAGTTTTCTCATCTGTGGTCAGGCAAGATTTTGCTCTGATACTCCACACCACTCATCCCAGGTCACTGTAGGACTTTCTGCACTTCAAGTGGGAGAAGAAGGCCTTAATATATTACATTATGGAAGAACTTTGGTGCTCACATCTTTTAGGCAAAGAAGCAGAGAATTTGGAATGTTTTCTAGACTCTCTTAGTGCTATGCTTCTCAGAAGGGCATTGACTCACGTAGTTTTTCTACCATGTTATATTAGAGGGCTCTGAATTTAAATCCAGTAGTTTTCTGTACTATTTTCAAGTGAGTAATTCAGCCAACACTTGCTGCATTTATGTCATTTGCTGGGTGCTGGGAGTAGAGGGAACAGCCAGAGCCAGTCTCCACCCTTGCATCCTCAACAGGCAGGAGATGTGAATGGGAAATCCAATCCCAACCTTAAGGAACAGCACAGCACAATAGAGTTGAAAGAGTTTGTGCTCTGGACTAAAGCGCAGAGTTCAGATCCAGCCCTGTGGGTGGCCAGCTGTATAGCCAGAGATGGGTTACTTAGCCTCTTCATTGGAGCTTAGCACAGAATACATAAAGTGCTTGGTCTGCAGGATGTATTCTAGATATGGTAACCTTCACAGAATTCTGATCCTTCTCATGAGCTCTGCAGGTTACATGCTGGATGCTTGCGAGGCCTCTCACCTCTCCTTCCCCCAGCCATGAATGCCCATTTCTGCTCCATTGGCTCTCAGAAGTGGTCATTACTGCATTGCCCAGAGCCTGATCATGTTCTCCCTCTGCCTGTCAGTTGAGTGGGTGCTGCTGGTTCTTCGTCCTCCCATCCTCCTACCTGCTGAAGCGAACTTTCCACATGACTGGAGAGAAAGGGTTTCATTTTAGCCATCACTGACAAATGTCTTCATAATTGTTCCTCACATGCCAGCCTCCTTTAAGGAGACACGGTCATTGGGCACCATTGTGTGCAGCAGCTTGACCTCAGAGTCATTCATCCTGTCACCCTGGAAGCTGGCATCGTTTAACCCCATCCTGCCCATTGGGGAAACAGACATGGAGGAGTGAAGCTATGTGCCTATTACACATGCAGAAGGAGCAGACTGGCTTTGAACTGAACTGGTAGACTTCTGAGCCTGTGCTCTTTCCACTGACGCCCACAGGCTCCTGGAGCAAGAAGCACAGGGATGGCCTAGGTCTGTTTGCACATGAAATAAATGGCCTTGAAATTTTTTTTTGTACATGAAATAAATGGCCTCTGAGTTATGTGCCTTGAAGTCCTCTGCCAGCTTTTCACTGTTTTCCTGTCCTTTTCATAAGCCCATGTTTGTCCAGCTCATACTCAGGTAAGTTTGATTGAACACCCACAATGCACAAGAGCTGGGCATCAGCTTTCCACAAATGCAAATCTCCATGATCTTGTCTGATGACTCCAGACAGAATAGGGCCGATTATTCCCATTTGGCAGATGGGAAAACTATGGCTCAGAATGGATGCTTCTCTTGTCTTTTTCACTAGACTCAGTGGTTCAAAGGCTTTTTCACCCAGGAAGTTTGTGTGCTGCTTTGTGAGGGATCTCTGGTCCCCTTTCTGGGCCATGACCCCTTTTCTGATGACCCTTCTCACTTCAGGTGACCCTTTCCCCAGGAGGCTGAACCCCTTCACAGTGTTTCCCTTGCTCGATGACCTTCACCAGCGTTTCCCCATGTGTGTGCCATGCATGACTATTTTCACAGGATGTTAATAGGCTTTAAATAAAGGGAAACCAAGTGGGGTGTATATGTGAAAGTGGGATGAAGCTCTTGGATCAAATAGGTTTGGTACACACTGTGTCACAGCAAAATTCCATAATTATCTTTGCTGTAGGACATGCCAGAACCTTCAGTACAACAGTCTTTGTTTTGAAGGGAGTCAGGTGGCTCGTACCATTTCCCACACATTTGATCACTGCATGCTCCTTCATGGTGCTCTTGCAAGACAGGTTCCTTGAACACAGGCAATGGGACCCTGCCTTAACTGGGACAGTGGCAGCCACGAAGCCCACAGCCCCTAGGATGGGTTGAGGGCACCTTCAAGGGCTTCACTTGTCTTTGGTAATGGTCTTTTCTCTCCCCAGCAGCTCTCTGCAGAGGTGAAGGGGTCCCTGACTTTGAGATGGCTAGGGCCCTGCTCAGAGGGCTCTCGGTCCTGTAGGGGAGGGCACTTTCCCAGCAGCTGTGCACTGTCCTTCCTGCCTGGAGTGTGCCGCGTGTCCAAGCCCTGCCTCCCGATCCCTCCGGTGGTCAGAGGAAGGCTTCCGCCTCCTTGGTTTAATGCAGACCATTACAGGGAGGCCGGCTAGTTGTGCAAAGAAAATGTTTACTGAGTACTTACCCTGTGCCCACCCCATGCTGGTGCTTTGGATCCAGAGATTAAAAAACCCATCTCTGCCCTCAGGCAACTCACAGTATCTTAGAGGAGACAAGCTCATGATTAAAAAGTTGCAGTGCCATGTGAGGAGTCTTGTCAAAAAGGTGTGTGCTAGCCCAAAAGCTTGGAGGATATTGTCAGTGACGGCTCAGGTTTGCTGGACAGGAGTAGCTGGAGTTGGAAAGAAAGACTGTACAGCAGACAAGAGGGGCAGGAAGAGAAAGGGCCTCCAGATGTGGGGGACAGTGTGTTTGAAGGCAAGCAGCCTATCGTAGTTGAGGGTTAAATATCAGTAAGGGGTAAGTTAGATACCTTTTTTTTTTTTTTCTTCCCAATTTCTGGTTCTTTGAAATGCATGGAAGCCGTTTGTAACCCTGGGAAGAATACTGATTCTAGAGTCAGCCTAGCACAGGGGTTTGGGGCGGAGCCACTTTTTATTGGGTAATATCAGGCATATTTCTTTTCACTCCTGGAGCCTCAGTTTCTTGTTATCTGGGGGATAGCGCTCCCCAGGTGCCAAAGATCAGATTATCATACTGTGTGATGTTGGGCAGATATGTGAAATCTCCACAGTGGTTGCCTATTTGAAACCCTCTCTCCCACCTGCCCAGATGTAACCATGGCTGGGTAGGTGAGGCCAGAAGCAGCCTCAGAGATAGCAGCAGCTGAGATGGCTCTGTGGCAACAAAGTCCTAAAGTTGCCAGGAACTCCTAGCAAGATGGACAGAAAGAAACAGGAAGGTTTCCCAGCCAGTCGCAGGAGCTGGTCCAGCAGACAGAGCGGAAGCAGGAAAGCCTTCCAGTTTTGCTCTAGCCTTTGCGCTGCCCTCGACATCCTGGCAGGCCTGGCCAAGGCTAGACAGCTGTGACATCCGTGCTGACCTGTGTTGCCAAGACGATACTTCCTATGGACCAGGGACCTTACTGAAGGTGTTGTGCAGCTATCCATGCCCATCTGTCCTTGTCTATTCAAGCAAGATAATGACATCTTATTAACCAGTAGATCCTGTTGAACATGTAAAGTGAATGCCGATGCTCTCCCTGATAAAGTCAATGTGGGATTCTCCAGGACCCAGGGATAATCAATCTGCTCCCTGGGGATGTGGGCAGTAAGTCATCTCCCTTGTGATGGAGGTTCTCCTTGAATAGTTCTCCATGGTCTGCCAGGTTCCCCATAGCCTGACGGGCTCTTCTCTATAACCTGCAGCCCTCGAGGGGATTAGCCCCACCTTAAATTTCATCCTCGGCTGAGAGGCCAATCTCTGGACAGTGAGTCACCAAAGCTTGGGGATGATAGAAGGGAAATAAACAGTCACCAAGCAGTGGGAGAGAGCAGAAAGCCTAGTTGATTTGTCTTCAACTTCCTTCCAAAGCAGAGACCACATCTTCCTGCCACCCAGGGCTCCCTTGGGGTGAACCAGCTTCCATCCACGTAATTTCTTCCAGGTTTCCAGTTCCTGATGAAGCCAACTCTCTTGGGCTCATAAACATGGCATAGCTGTGCTCCAGGGAGACCTGAGCCCACCCTCCAGGTGTGTGGGCTAGGGTTTGGCCTTACCCTAAAGCAGTGGTCAGCAAACTCAGTCAATGAGCCAATGGCTCAGTCAATAGAGCCAAATATTAACAGTACGACAATTGAAATTTCTTCTGAGAGCCAAATTTTTAAAATTTAAACTTCTAATGCCACTTCTTCAAAATAGACTCGCTCAGGCTGTGGTATTTTGTGGAAGAGCCACACTTAAGGGGCCAAAGAGCCGCATGTGGCTCAAGAGCCGCAGTTTGCTGACCATGGCCCTAAGGTAAGGTAAGGCAGGGCCACTGGGTCCTTTAATAAGAAACCAGGATGCCATT